ATTTTATTGTTTTTGTTTTTTTTTTGTTTTTTTCCTGGTACCGGGAACCGAACTCACGACCCTGCGCTTGCCAGGCAGGCGCTTTGCCGCTGAGCTAAATCCTCAGCCCCTGTTCTAAGGTATTTTATGGTGACAAGTTACATATACGTGACCAATATGAGTTGACCTAACTACAGTTTCTCCCACACTTTACATATGATGATTTATTTTAAAGTGTAAATTATTTTGCAAGAATATAATGTCATGTTATGATATAAATAAATATTTGTATATTTAATATGGCTTAATATCAGATTATATTTGGGAGGCCTCCATACTGGTTGAGAGGCAGGAATGATACAGGTTGGGTTCTACCATAACTTGTCTGGAAAACAGTGATTTTCTTTGAGACCTTGAGAAAGTGACTCTATCTATGACAGTGCCTTTCTTGATTGTCACAATGGGCAGGCCCTATCTCAGGGAGTGGTGAGGATTAAATGAAATGTAATATACACATAGCAGTTAAGACATTGTATGGCATATTAATTACGTAAGAGTAGGAATAATAAGAGAAATAAGGATTATTAATTATGGGTCATCGGGCTTTTTGCTAAGTTTTGCATACTAGGTTGATGGAATACATTCTCTTTCATTTTTAAAAAGTCTGCACTATATTGTAGCACAAACATTTTTTTTTTGGTGAAAGACACTATATAGCAAGCTTGGAGATCATGTAATTATTATATTAGCCTTTTCTACATAAAATGAAACTACTGTTTTTTCTTAGCCAATAAATTATTCATCAAGTTTATTATGTTATGTAAAAATGCTTATCAGGATACACTAATGTTTTTCTGAAGACTACACAGAGTTAGAATATTAACCCTAAGTTTGTCTACATCATACTCATGTCTGGAGACTTTGCCTGAGACTTAGATTAAGGGTGGCAGAGTAATTAATCTTACAGAAGAAATTTCAAGGAAGTCTAATGTTGAGGTGATAGCATGGTTGCTATTGGGAGCTTTTAGCCAGATCCATATTGAGAATCAAGAGCAAAGAGCCCAGCAGAATGGTTTAAAACACTGATTTGGCTTGAAAGGAAGCTTCAGTAAAGCAGTGCACTACAAAGATAGGGCAGAGGAAATCTTCATTACTGAGAAGGAACAGGAGAATAGAGAAGAAGACCTGACGGATCATAAGAAGCAGCAAGACTTCACCATTTGTAGCCTCAAAATTGCAAAAGTGAAAGACTTTTCTTTGAGAAGAGAGAACCAGAACACCGTGTTCCAGAATGGCTGAGCCTAGGGGAGTTGTTCCTCGGGATTTGGTTCAGAGGCACAGGACCCCTACAGCCAAGAGAGAAGGAAGCCTGGCTATTGCTCCAGCTAGCAGCAGACCTTGGCATCATCCAGGTGGTGCTGGTTTTAGGTGCATGCAGAATTAAAGAGTTGTGGTGTCAGGAAGGCTTCCACCTAAATTTCAGAACATGGCCTGGGAGGCTAGGCAGTGTGCCCTTGAAAGGACAATGTGTGTAGCTATGAGTGTGAAGCCAAAGGTACATTGGAGACCCCAGAAGTGTGGAGAAGCCAGGCATGTGGGTCATCTGAGGAAAACTGCAAAGAGGGAGCAGAACAGGCCCAAGAGATAAGCCATGGGAGCTACAACCACTAGCAGTGCCGTATGGGTAGAGCCACCCAAGCCCTTCAGAGTTTTTGTCTTACCACAGATTGCATCATATGCTGTACATGGAAATACAGGAATTAATGTTTGCCCTAAAGGATTTTGGGCTTGCTTTGGTCTCATTTCTTTATATTCCCCTATCTGTAACTTTTGGAATGATAATGTCTATGTTGTGCCATTGAATGCTAGAAATGTTTAACTTTCTATTCATTTGTATGGGAGCTCACAGATAAAAGAGTGTGAGCTTACCTTAAATCTCAGAGGAGACTTTTGACTTTGAGTTTTCAGCAGTGCTGAAACTGTTGGACTTTGGCAACTCTTGGAGATAGATTAAATGCCTTTTGCATAAAGAAATGTGCATGAATCTTTGGGGGGACCAAGGGCTGAATGTTACGGTTTGTGTCTAGATGTTCTCTTTTTTTTTTTTTGTACTGGGAATTGAACTCAGGACCTTGCGCTTGCTAGGCAGGCACTTATTGCCTAGCAATATCCCCAGCCCTAGATGTTCTCCAAAACCCTCATGTGGTCATAGGTGGGGCTTTTCAGAGGTGGCTGCATATAGGGTGTATGATGCTGTGATCAAGGATATGATGCTAGAGTTAAGGGTGGGTAGCCTGGATAAGATATAAAAGACCAAAAGAGGCTTATCCCTTGTTGCTTGCCTTGCTGCCTTCTGCCTGCCATGAACTGTTTCTCTTCTGTGATGCCCTTCTGCTGTGCCACCCTGCTTTGGATCCAGCCAACTATGTACTGAAACCTCTACAAACTGTGAGCCAAACGAACCTTTCCTCCCTTAACTTTGGGTGTTGGGTATTTTGTCTCAGCAAAGAGAAAAGTAACTAGGACAATAAGCATGCAAGTGATATTGCTCTTTTTCTTCCCTCTGCTATTCTTCCTTTTCTGCATCTTGCTTTGTTATTTTAACAGTAGACATGCTAGCCATGTAACTCAGCAGTACAACACTTGCCTAGCACATGTGAGGGCCTGGGTTCAGGCCTCAATAGTGCAAAAAGCAGTAACAGAAGTGTGTGGAGCGTGGTGGCACACACCTGTAATCCCAGCATTTAAGATACTGAGGCCGGAGGATCACTGGGAGTTTGAGGCCAGCCTGGGCTACATGGTCAGACCCTGTCTACAAACAAACAAACAAAAAACCCAAAAAAGAAAAGAGTATATTTTGAAGATTATTCTGTATTTTCGTTCATGTCATTTAAATGCTAAAGGACTTAAAACAACATCTTATGTTTTTTAAATATAAAAACAAAGCATTAAAAATTAGAAACCTAACAATATATGGGTAAATTGCTTTTTAAGTAAGTTTACATGCTGGTTTTGCATGATTAAGGGAGAATAAATTTTGTTTTGGTAGTTCATGAGTTTCATAAATTTAAATGGACATGGCTGAAAATGCAAGGTTAGCACAAGGACTGTTAATTTCCAGCCTTTCTGTGTGGTGCAAATGCTAAAATTGGACCACTATTTTTAAAACTTGAAGCAAGATATAGAAACCATTTTATATAGCGGACAGGATATGGAGGATGACCAAGACCACAAAGACTAAAACCCAACCACAACAGAAATAGCACTTTGCAGCCCCTGAGGAATTAAGCTCACAAATACTAATAAAACTGCTCAGCATCTTTCAGCACAGAATAACTATTCCTGTAAATAGTTTTAGCTGCAGTAAAACCTTCTAAAAGTGGGAATTCAATACAATTAATATTTAATACTAGATGTAAGGAACTGCATCCAGGGAGTCTGACTTTTAGTTGTATCCCTTTACTGACTTCAGCTCTTTAGATTTTTTTTTTTTTAACAGTGAAGAATAAAGAGTGGGTAGTAGAATATTTTAAAATATATTTAATTGTGCATTAAATTAGAATCATTCCCCAGAAAAACTGTAAAGGGTAAAAACTTATCCCTTTGAAAGAACATCAAAAGTCTTAGAGAGCTCGCGTCAGCAGCACATATACTAAAAATCCCAAAGAAATCGGTATACACATCGTGACAAGTGAGCCATATTCTTTGAGAATTTTATACAATTTAATATGGTTTTAAACGAATCAGTGATAATTTTTAGTAAAGAAATTACTTTGAAAATTGATGTGCTTCCCTGAGAACTCATAAATATAATCATATATAAACATATAAAAGTGTTTAAAATGGTGACTTCCCGTTTAGTGTCAATTCCTTTTAACTTATAAAGTACAAATGTTCACTTATTTTCTGAGGTACACAGGAAATGTCTGATATATCTAAGTACATCTAAGAGGAATGCAACATAATTTGCATTCTACTTTAGCTTTATATTGAACAGATAATTCACGAAGTCATTTAAAAAATTGGAGTTGCACTGTTACATGTCAGAAGTATTAAAATTTAAGTAATTCCCCTTCTAGTATTTGATTTATGTACAAGGATGTACAAGATTTATGTACAAGGATGTTCATTGAACCATTATTTATAATAAAAATTAGAAGCAGTGCAAATGCATTGAAACAAGGGATTTGCCAAATAAGTTATGCTAGTCTAACATGTGGCCATTAAGTATTACTTTGAAGAGCAACACGAAAACATACTGACAATGTGTTGGTACAAAAGAAGGTTATAAGGACTATGCTTACATTTTCCACTCTTCCCTCCACAAAAGTACCTACTCATGCTTAGGCTGGAAAGATAAAAGGAACAAGACGATAGGTGGCATTTCTGGAGAGCACTTTTACGGGTAACTAATTTTCTGTTCGGGGCATTTGTTACCAATTATTTAAAAAAATGAACACCACCTTTTAACTTTCTTACAGCCTAATTTTATGTAATTTTTTTTCCTTTTTATTTGCCTTCCCTATGCACAATAAGAAGGGCCCCAGTGATCCGGGAAGAACCTCACGTGGAGAAGGGAAAGGATCATTTTAAAGGAGCCACAAACTCCATCTCTAGATGAGCAGACTTTAAAAATCACCCTTTTGGTGCACACTACTGATGTATTTTAAGTCTTACTTTCTGACCTCCGATTTCAATGCTATTTTTCTTAAACTTGCTTATTTTACTTAAATAATGAGGTAAAATGTAAATGAAAATTACTGAGACTATGAAAACGGTTTGTGTCCCACAAAAGCACAAAGTGGAAAAGCTGGTGTTTCTTCCTCACCCTGAGTCTCAGCTCTTGTTTGCTAGCCAGTGCAGGGAGAGAGCGTTACCGGGAGACCTGCTATTTGTTTATCAGCCAGACATTATGGATGATTTTTATTTTTTGTAGAGAATGTACTTCTTCTATACCTTATATTGCTTAGAAAAATGTTTCCAAGGGACTAATGTTCTTTTATAAATACTGCTTTTTCTAGATACAAAGACTTGAAGTTGTCTTTCCTGACCTAAGATGGAGAACAGTACCACTACCATTTCTCGGGAGGAGCTTGAAGAACTACAAGAAGCATTTAATAAAATAGGTATGCTTGAGCAAAAGTAAATGTGAGGTTATTGTTTTGCTTGCTGTTAGACTTCAGGAGTAGAACAATACTTTAAAAAAAAAAAATCTAGGTTTCACTGGATCCTTTCTGAAAAATAAAGACTGGCTTGAATTTCTGGGTGACTTGGACTTTGAATCCTTTGATCATTTCTTTGCAGTGAATCATCTAGGTTAATGAATGACAGTGTAACTGAATACACTTAACATGTGATCCTCACTATAGTGAAAAATATGAAAACGTTTCCTTGTGTATTAACTGAATTCTGGCCTTCATGTCTTTGTAACTAACTGTAACACTTAGTGACTTCATGAAGAATGTTTTAAAAATCTACTATGGGTATTATCTTTAAAGGCCATATGTCTTATTTTCCTTCTTACTCATGTATAATTTAAAACATATTTGTTTTTAAAGCCCGTATGTCTTATATTTCTTCTTTCACTTTTTGAAGCCATTCATTGTTCTTTCTCCATGACATTATCATCTTGCCAGCTTTGTATTCTTCTTCCAGAAAATTTCCTCTATGCTGTTGAATCTCAATTCTTTTGCATTTACCTCTTAGAAAACTTAAGGTAAACAAGGAGAATATAATACCACTTTTCCCCCCAGTTTGGCCTGCAAATATGTGCAAGTGAAAGTTGAGCACAGTGAATAGACATTGGGACAGTGAGGTCCACTGTCATTGTCCCTTCCTCGGCAGATACCTTCTCTCAGGCAATAAAGTACGCCATGAAAAACAAGTCGGGACATAATGATCATAGTTCATCTTGTTCTTAGATTTCTCACAAACCTACTGGACCATAACTAAAATTAATGTAGGTGAAATGAAATGCTGGGTGGATTTTAGAGACCACTACAAAGAAGACAGATTTAATGTTAAAAAGTGAAGCTCTTTTTAAAAAAAGCAAAACCTTATGATTTGCAGAAAAAAGTAAAACCTTGTAATTTCACTGCTGTGAGACACAGCAGATTCTTATGTTTCTCCCTGCAGATTTATCATTCAGGGACTGTGTGACTGTGTATAATTTCAAGATGATTAATAATAAATATTAGAATATGGGTTGCAGTGCCCAAGATCTTTTCAAGACAGACAGTGGGCAATTACTGGAATGTTCTGCTCATTTCAGGCACGTAAACAGGAAGTAGTAAAACTGGATCTCCTGCTTTGTACTTAAGTCATTTTATGTGGGAACCTGAAAAAAAAAAGTGCTACGCAGGTCTTCGTAAAAATGAATGGATGAGGGCCTGGGGATTTAGCTCAGCGGCACAGCGCCTGCCTGGCAAGCACAAGGTTGTGAGTTCGATTTCTGGTACTGGAAGAAAAACAAAAACAAACAAACAAAAATGAATGGATAAGTAATCTATTTTGCTTGTTTAGCACACCAACTTTAATCTCTATGACTTGTGGACGTATAATCTTGCAATATTTATTTAGTGAAATTTTGAATAAACAATTCACTGAAAGAATAATCCTGACAGCAAAACAATTTGTCTTCTGTGAGGGAATTGTTAACATTAATAGAATATGTACTTTTATTATTTTTTTTAAACAAGATAAACTATGGCTAATGAACCCAGCAAACCCTGTGCTAATTTGTACCAAACAGCTGTTTTCAGAGACAGGGGGTAGACTCATCCGGTCTTACTAGATGGAGTATTTTTGGTCACTGGGGGAAAGCTGGGAGTTAAAATATGTCATCTCGCTTCCTTTAAAAAATGGTGGTAGAATATACATAGTAAATGTAAGATTTTAATCATTTTTCAGTGTGTAGTTCAAGGGCCTTAAATACATTTACATTGTTCTGCATCTGGCATCACCATTCCTGTTCAGAACTCTTCTCTGCTCCTAAACTGTAATTCTACCCCTGTTAAACAATACTTCCTTCTTTCCATCTCTCCTGTCCCTAGAATCCATGATTCTATTTTTTGTGTGTGTGCTGGGAATTGAACTCATGACCTTGCGCTTGCCAAGCAGGCGCTGTGCCACTGAGCTATATCCCCAGCCCCACCATTCTACTTTTTATGCATAGGAATTTGACTACTCTAGTTACTGTGTGTATTTGGAATCATACTTGTCTTTTTGTGACTAGCTTATTTTACCTGCCATTATGTCTTCAGTGTTCATTCATTTGTAGCATGTGCCTGAATCTCCTTCCTGTTTAAGGCTAAATAATACTCCATGTGTATATGCCCAGTTTGCTTATGGCATTTAGGTTGCTTTTACTTCTTGGCTATTGTGAATAAAGCTGTTATAAACATGGGTGTAAAAGTACCTGTTGAAGCCCCTGCTTTCAACTTTTTAGAGTGTATACCTGGAAGTGGAATTACTGGGGCATACGGCAACTCTATATTTAATTTTTCAGAGGATCATCATTCTATATTCTATAGCGGCTATACCTTTTTTACATTCCTACCAGCAGTGCACATGGGTTTCAATTTCTCTTCATCTTCACCGCTTATTTTCTGTTTTTGTTTTTCTTGTTCATTTGTTTTATAACAGCCATCCTCCTGGGTGTGAAGTGGTATCTTTTGTAGTTTCAACTTGTATTTCCCTAATTATTAATGCTATTGAGCAGCTTTTCATGTACCAATTGGCCATTTGTATGTCTTCTTTAGAGAAACATTTTAAGCCCTTTGCCCTATTTTTTAATCTGGTTTTGCTGTCATTATTTGTACGAAAGTCTTATTTCTTTTTAAACCATGATCTTTATGCTTGTCTATCCTGTCTTTATTTCCTCACCTTTAAAATGAGAAAGACATTAGTGACTACTTTAAAGTTGTGAAGATTTAGTAAGATAAGGTAAGTAAAGTTATTAACAAATCACTTGACGGAGAATATATGTCATTAGTTAGTGTTACATCATGCCCAAGCCACAGAAGTTGTAGGGATAGAGCTGGGATGTAAGCACCCAAATCTATCCATTTTCAAAGCTCTTCAGGTCCTAACTAGTTAAATATTTTAGTTTAACATGATGTTTGACAGGTAAATAACTTCCTCAGTTTTTAAACTTAAAAATATTTCCCACTGTAGTGGTAGTACAGAAATAAACAGTGTTTTTTGTATATTGCAGAATTATGGGACATGTTTCAGAATTAGTGGTATATTAATAATGAGGATTTGCTCAAAATTCAAAGAAAGCAATATTATTATTGACATATCAATAATTCAGCTTCCTAGATGACTTAAATTATAGCAATATACTTGCACAGTAGAGCTAATTATCATTAATTCAGTTACAGTGATGATAGCTCTTTTATTGAAAGGAAAAAGAAATGCAGGAAACAAAGAACCATTAGCAGATGAGCAGAGAGACCCTATGCAAGGTGGATCCAAGCAACAATGACACAACTCAAAGCTCTGTTGCCAACTGTGGGCAGAAGTGCTTTGTGTTACCTTTGTCCTGAGTCAAGAAGTGATACCCAGTCTCAGGGGAAAACCGCCCAGGGAGGGGCATTTCAGTGATAACGTGAAAACACCTAGAAACCTGTTTCCAAAAGCTCAAATATAGATGTGAAATTTCTTGAACACCTGATCTCAAAATGACATCAGACATGATTCAGTATACATAATGGTATCATAAATACATAATGAAGAAGCAATGAATTATTGACAGATGAAATGAACTCCCACCAAGTGAAATGTAGAATGAAAATACTTCATGTATACTTTACATGATACGCATATTTTATATGGAATGTGGGGGCAATACATTAATTTGTAAGTTCCATTGAGTTCACTTCCAGATGAGTGTTCCCTCTTGAACACTGCTGACATATTTCTTCTGGATATCTGAGACCTCTCCAGGCTTGTTTCTTTGAAACTTAGTCATGTGCTAAAACTGAGTTTGCCAGAGCATTGTCTGTACTGTGAACTTAATACATACTGGGGCCTTAAATCTATAGAGATGGATTCCATTTAAATATGAGTGTTTTGATAAACCATGTAGCATCCTCTGGTCAGTTTAGGTGCAAGAAACAGGCTACTGCCACTTGTAAAACAAACTTAAAAAGGTCTGTGTGCATGTGAATCCTCTGTATGGCTGAGTGCATGTCTGCACAGTACCAGTGATATCTGACAGCTCATAATGTATCGTTACAGACATTGACAACAGTGGATATGTGAGTGACTACGAACTTCAGGACCTATTTAAGGAAGCAAGCCTTCCTCTTCCTGGCTATAAGGTGCGCGAGATTGTGGAGAAAATTCTAGCAGTTGCTGACAACAACAAAGATGGCAAAATCAGTTTTGAAGAGTTTGTGTCAGTAAGTAATCAAATCCTCTCCTAGCTACTGATCCTTTTGCTTCAAAAAGAATTTTAAGAATGACATTGCTAGCTTTGGTTAGATTTGGCTGTAGAGGGAAGAAAAAGTATTCCTCTAAAATCATGATAATGTTAACAACAATTACTATTGTAGAAAAAATAATTCCCACAAATAATTTGTAAAGCAAAGGGAAATATCATTGAATGGAAGTTAGGCTTTTAGATAATAATGCTTCATCCTCTAGAATAATTATATGTGAACTCAGTGCTTATTGATGCCCATTAATATAGCTGAATAAATATTTATGAAATATGAGTTACCTGCTTTTGTAGTCTTCATTCACTAGGCAAATATTTAAACTTTAGGCACTGTGAATGATGCAGTGAGCAAAAGAGACATGAATCCTGCTTTCATGGACTTTACATGTGGTAGAGAAAGCAGAATCACATAGATGAGGGGCTGGGGATTTAGCTCAGCAGCACAGTGCCTGCCTGGCAAGCGCAAGGTCGAGAGTTCAATTCCTTGTACCGGAAAAAAACCAAAAAAAAAAAAAAAAACAACCAATCACATAGATGAGTGAAAGATACCAATTGTGGTAACTGCTATGCCAGGATGGTACAGGTCCCACGAAAGTTGGTAGTAGAAGGAACTGGACCTTGAGGGGGAGGCTGGAGAACGCGGGAGGGTATCCCTTAAGTTGTGAAGACTGAACTGAGATCTAAAGAAAGATGTTAAATGGACACTGGGGTCAGGAGGAGGTGAAGCCAGGTGTGGCGGCACACATCTGTGATCTCAGCAGTTGAGAGACTGAGGCAGGAGGATCGGTAGTTTGAGCCCAGCCTGGGAGAGAGAGCAAGACTTGGCTGTGGAGAAAAAAACCAAAAACACAGAAAAGGAGGAATAACGTGAGGCAGATAGAGATGACAGCATTTGTAGAGGCTGTGGCTTTAGAGGTAGTGGATAGCTCTTTAAACAGTTGCACAAAGGGCTATTGTGGCTGGAGCTGAGATGGTAAAGAGTAAGGAATGTAGTTGGAAAGGATCAGGCCTGCAGGCCCTTACAAGATTTTTGTTTTTATCCTCTTTTTTTTGTTTTTGTTTTTATCCTAAGAGCAGGTAGGGTAATACAGTGTAAAGTGACATGATTGGATTTGCATTAAAAAATACAAATTACTGGAGAAATTAATGAATTCAGTCTTGCCAGGCTCAGGAGAGTGCAGTAGGAATGTTTGGAAAGGGAGTTTCTGCTGGGCGTGGTGGCACACGCCTGTAATCCTACCACTCGGGAGGCTGAGGCAAGAGGATCACTGTGAGTTCAAGACCAGCCTGGGCTACAAAGTGAGCTCAAGGCCAGCCTGAATTGCATAGAGAGACCCTCTCTGAAAAAGACAAAAAAAAAACAAAAAACAAAACAAAAAGGAAAGGGAGTTTCTATAAGCCTATGCTATTTCCTAATAGGCTTGACATGCTTTAACATGTACGAATTTAGGATGTTTAGGCAGAAAAATGCCTTCATGAAGGCATTTTAAAAATTTATCATGTAATTTCCTAGGTTTTTAGTAAAACAGTCATGGCCAGTCTCTAAGAACAATTTTGTGTGTTCACCTTAAATGTAAATTTTAATTTCTTTCAGGGGCTGGAGCACAAATATTTGCCCGTTTTGTTTTATTGGTAAATGACATGAGAGTTATCTGTGTACACAAGCATTACCTGTGGGAATACCTGATTTATATTTATTTCTGTGTCATTTCAAATAAGGATGTCTAAATAAATGTCCTCCTGTCACCAAATTTTCATGATTATTTGATCAAATCTCGATTTTACTTCTATTCTATTCCAGCTAATGCAAGAGTTAAAAAGCAAAGATATCAGCAAAACATTCCGAAAAATAATTAACAAGAGGGAAGGAATTACTGCTATTGGAGGAACCTCATCCATTTCCAGCGAGGGCACGCAGCATTCTTATTCAGGTAACTTGACCCTCCAAATTTTTTTTTTTTTTGGTCTTTTTGAGACAGAGTCTCCCTATGCAGTTCAGGCTGGGCTTGAGCTCACTTTGTAGCCCAGGCTGGTCTCAAGCTCACAACGATCCTCTTGCCTCAGCCTCCCGAGTGCTGGGATTACAGACATGTGCCGCTACGCCCGGCAGCCCTCCAAATTTGATCTTTTAGTTACTGATTCATTAAGTGCCACATTTCTTCTTACGTAAGATGCTCCTCATCGTGATTAAATACCATTATTTTATGTATCACTGAGGGGGGAAGATCCTGATTCAATTATACCATGACATCAAATTTAAAGTGTATCTCAGTATTAGAGCTGTTAAAATGGAAAGTCTTAAAATCACCAGAATGAATATGTTCATTCTGTGGGTCAGGTTCATCAGAGAAATTAAAAACAAAATGAAAGCTTGTATTTTAGCACTTGTTGTGTTTCATTGTGACTTTTGAGTGGGTTTTTCATCCTGACTGGTAAGGTGGCATTATATTTAGATTTGATCGAGGAATAGTGGAGAGCCTTATTATAGTTCCCCCTTCCATTTTCCAAGAGCTGAGATACTTGATTCATTTTTTTATCAAACCACCAAGTGATTAGAGAACATAGCACCTGATTTGCTTGATCTGATAGAATCACTGGATTGCTGCCCAGTGGGAAATCCAGAGTCACATTAACTCTTAAGGTGAGGAGTTAAGCTTCCTTCTCAGGGTCAAGATGTCTCAGAACCTTTGGACAAGCTCCTTTTTATTCATATTAATGCACTTAGAACTATGCTTTTGAAATGTTGGACAACAGTTCCTAAAATTCTTCTTTCTTTCTTCCTTTAGATCTGAATGTTAATTATCCTCTTGATTTTCTTCCTAATTAGATTTTCCTCAAATGATATGCTCATGTTTCTCCTATCCATTGTATTTTTTTCCCTAGCCTTTTCCCACTAGAGAGATAGTAATAAAGGCAGTAGTTGATAATTGCTATCTCTGCTTTTTGAAATGTACTTACCCCTAACCTCAGTTTCTGCTTGTTCATTTAACTGAAATAGTTTTTTAAAACAAGACAAAAAAACCCAATAAATAAAATAAAATACACACTGAGCAAAGTGCTGTAATCTTACGTATATGGCTCAGTGAGTTTTTACATGTGTGTATACATCCATGTAGCTACATCCATGCAGCTCCCAACCAGATCAAGATATGGAATATTTTATCACCCTGTATGGCTTCCTCATACTCAGTTAGCAATATTTCTTCCCAGAGGTAATCACTTGTCTAAGATGCCATTTCTTGCTTGCTTAGTATAAAATATAAATAATAAACTACATACAGCAAACCTTAAGTGTGTGGCTTGATGATTTTTTTGTAAATCTATGAATACACCCTGGAAAACTATATACAACATTTAATGGCTTTTTAAAAATTGCAGCTTTACTGAGATGCAATTGGCTTACTATGAAATTCACCCCTTGTAAGTGTATAATTCAGTACTTTTTAAAATATTAACAGACCTGTGCAATTGTTATCACCATTTGATTTCAAAATTTTCTGCTTACACCAAGAGAAACCTTGAAAGTCATTGTTAGTCATTTCGCATTTCCACCTTCCAGAAACCTCTGCAACTATTAAGCTATTTTCTAATTCTATGGATTTGACTGTTCTGGAAATTTTGTATAAATGGAATCATATTGTAGTGGCTTTTCATTTTATAGACAGTTTACTGGCATATTTCTAAAGTTCATGTGATAGCATATATCATACCTTGTTTCTTTTTATGGCTGAATATTCCATTCTAAGTGTAATGCCACATTTTGTTTATCTTTATGAATATTTGGGCCATTTCCTTTTTTGGGCTATTATGAAAAATAATGTATGAACACCATGTACACCTTTATGGTGTGGTCATAACCTTTAAGTTCTCTTTAAGTATATACCTAGGAGTGGAATTCCTGGATCTTTTGGTAGCTATATGTTTGATATTTTAAGGAACTGGCGAATTGTTTTCAAAATTACTGCATTGTTTTACACTTCCATCAGTTATGCATGTTTTTTTTTCATACCTTCACCAATACTTGATATTATCCATTAAAAAAAGTACAACCATCCCAGGGGTTGTGACTTGGTCTCTCATTCCTGGTTCCCGTGTCTCACATATCTCCCCATTTCGTTCCCATTACCACCTTCTACCTTGCAAATAGTGTTTCCTTCATAAATTCTGTTTTTGAGGTGGATGTCTTCCTGTTTTCTCTACATTGGTCTTATGGGCTTGAGTAATCTTCTGGCCTCACCCCCCTGGGATTACAGGCATGTGCCACCACATCTGCTCTGTAAAGGCTTTTCCTGACCAACTCAGTCACAGATGATTCTTCCTTTAAAATTTTAAAACGTTGCACCCTATATATGCAATGTTTCCTTTATGTTAAATTTCTTTCTACTTCTCTTTTACCATTACAGTGAAATTCCTTGATGGCAAGTATAATATTTTAGTGATCTTTACATCTCTGAACTTCTCAGTCTTTCTAAGGATTTATGTAGGTTGTGGCAAGTAGGTAAGAGACAGATTATTGTATGTACAAAAGGGGAGATACTAGTAGTTTGTGTTTTTATTTTTTATTTTTTTCGTACTGGGAATTGAACTCAGGACTTTGCACTTGCCAGGCAGGGGCTTGTGCCACTGAGCTATATCCCCAGCCCCTTGTGTCTTTGATGTCTATGTGTGGTGATGGTTAAATTTGGGGGATACCTGTCAAATATGCCCTTAGGGAATTACCCAAGTCTAGGTACTGGGGTAGAAATTGAGGAGGCCAGCTCATATATGGTACTCTCTGATGGAAATAGAGATTAATTACTTTGAAATTTTTTTTTTTTTTTGTTTTTTTGAGCCTTGAGCTCACTGTGTAGCCCAGGCTGGTCTCGAACTCACAATGATCCTCCTGCCTCAGCCTCCCGAGTGCTGAAGTGCTGCATGCAGTAATTTTCCACGCCAGGAAAATTACTTTGAAATTTTATATTGTTAAGTACTCTCTTATATTTACATTATTATATTTACATATTATTTACATATAGAACATTTCTACTTTAAGTTCCTTCCTACTCTCCGTACCGAATAGCCCAGTGACATTTTCTGCTTGAAGATCAGTGTCCATACTCCAGAGTACATGTGTTGAGGATTGTTGATGGTGATAGCTAAGAACAGTGCTGTAACTGGGCTTGGTGGTTTTCTTCCTGTAAAAATTTCTTAGAGATGGAGTTGTTTTAGTCATTTCAATAACTGTGTGTATGTGTGTGTATGAGCAAGAGCTATATCCCCGAAAACTCTTGATTAAATTCACCGTATCTGTTGTAAGTCAAAATCACAGCTCTCTAAATATCTTTTAGGGGGTAAGATTTATTACCTTAGATCCAAAGATCCATTTTGGGGGTATTTTCCCCTTATTTAAATATCTGTCTGTATTTGTGAGCATGTGTGTGTGTATTTTTTTAAAAAAAATTCTGATGTTCTGCTTCTGGTTCGTTAGATTTCAGAAGTAATAATGTTTGGAAAGATTTTAGACTCCAACCAAATATTTATTGTGCCCACTTAAGATACATGTCTTCCTTCCTTAATATTCTGAGGAAAAAGTGAGATGAATTCCCTGTGTTAAACCTTTTAGAGCTTGAGTGGAGTTTTAATAATAGTAATTCACTATCTTTGAGCAGTGTGTTTTTGTTGTGTGATAATTCTGTGAAATGAGGTTTGCCTATGCAGACTTTTCTGTTTTCAGAGGAAGAAAAAGTGGCCTTTGTGAACTGGATAAACAAAGCCTTAGAGAATGACCCTGACTGTAAGCATCTTTTACCCATGAATCCCAACGATGGCAGTCTCTTCAGATCACTCGCGGATGGCATCCTTCTTTGGTGAGCTGCATGCTGAGTAACAGAGCTGTGTTCTTGGTGTCCGCATTGAGGAAGAGTCCAGGAAAACTACAATTCGCCAAGTCCATTTTGTTGTTTTGAGTTAGTACATAGGTCTGGAAGGATTTATATTCCATAGTAAATTAAATGCTGTTTTCCAAACTTTACCTTCTAATAGAGTCCTTCGTTTCATTTATTTATTTATTTTTGTCTTTTTGAGGCAGGGTCTCTGTATGCAGTTCAGGCTGGCCTTGAGCTCACTTTGTAGCCCAGGCTGGTCTCAAACTTGCCGTGATCCTCCTGCCTCAGCCTCCTGAATGCTGACATTACAGGTGTGCACCACCACGCCTGGCCAATCCTTTATTTTTAAAAATTCCTTTCACATATATTACCATAATAATGCTTGGAAACTTCTTTTCTTTTGGAATTGGAAATGGAACTCAGAACCTTGGGCACCATGCAGTTGAACTATCCCACCCCCGCCCCCAGGAAACTTTTGAGTTAGTCCTTAGATGCATTTTTAAATTTGTACATGGTTTCTTTTTTCACTTTCTATCAAGGAAGTGTTCATTACTGAACCAAATGGGAAAGGAACACCAGGCAATATAAAAAGATGACAAACTTTAATTATGAAGTGAAAATAATGTTCTTATGAAACTTTTGTTCTTCGCAGTCTGTTCTGCTCACTATGTTGTAAATTCTTTTTTTTTTTCGGGTACCGGGAATCGAACTCAGGATCTTGTGCTTGCCAGGCAGGTGCTTGTGCCACTGAGCTATATCCCTGGCCCTATGTTGTAAATTCTAAGGGCATGTCTTTGTCTTTATACTATTTGGTGTAGTACCAGAAACTTTATAAAAAGCAGATATCTTTTTTTTAATTTATAAAAGATAGGAAACTTCTAAAGAAGAAAGTAACTATCACAAATATTCCATAATTAACTTTTCTAAATACCATAGCACATTTTCTTTAGTCTTTTCTGTGTATTTACTTAAAAAGAAAAAGAAAACAGAACAAATTCCTACCCATGAATACAGGTATCCGTGTGTTGGACATTATGTGTAAAATAGGTCTTGACCCCATCTACTTCCTCTGACCTTCATGTTCCTGTGTTGGTTTTAAAAGATAAATATATTCTAAAATGGTCAGACAAAAGTGGTATTTTCTTTTAAAAGTGTCTGAATTATCAAAGTCTTAAAGTCTCTGGCTTCTTGTATTTCTGCAATAACAATACATAACTTAAACAATGTCGATACCACTTTATGGAACTATTTGTTTACATTTCAGCCTGCTGAAAGTTGGCAGTGATTGAATGAAATAAAGACACAAATAGAAAAAGTATAAGATGGTTAAAACATTTAGGCATAAATGCTAAGAGCACTGCAATAAATAATAGATTTGTTTTAGACTAGGGAATATTTCTTAGATTTGAGAAATTCAGTCTCTGACATGAATTTATAGTTTACAGAAATTGATTTTTTTTCAAAATTTAACATTGTGACTGCTAGCAAAAATAAACTAAAAACATTTCTGGGAATTTTAAACGATATCATTCCCATTTTTCTCCTTAGCAAAATGATCAACTTGTCTGAACCAGATACAATTGATGAAAGAGCCATTAATAAGAAAAAACTCACTCCTTTCACAGTTTCTGTAAGTATTTGCCCTTTACTAGAAATATGTTACTAGGTTACAAAATACAGCATAAAGCCTTTATCAGTGGATGTTGGGGCCCAAGTTAAACTTCTGATTTTACATAATTCTGTTTGCTTATAAAAACTTGGAAAATTCAGTTGCATTTTGTAATGAAATTAAGATTCTGTGTATCTTAGATAAATTTCTTTAACCTACTAGTTTATATGGTTGTAATTACTGAGTTATTTGATTATTATTTATTTGATGCTGGTGTTCCTTTTTTATTTTCTTGTGGTGTTGGGCATTGTACAGGCTACTGTTGGATTATTATTATTATCACTATTTTTCATACTGGGAATTGAACTCAGGACCTTGCACTTGCCAGTCAGGCGCTTACGCCGCTGAGCTATATCCCTGGCCCTACTGTTGGGTTAAACTCCCAGCCTCAATGCAGGTGTTGTTGGTTAGTTGAAAAATGAACATCGATGGGTTGGGGATGTAGCTCAGCGGCACAGGCGCCTGCTTGGCAAGTGCAAGGTCCTGAGTTTGATTCCCGGTACCAAAAAAAAAAAAAAAAAAAAGTGAACATTGAAAAGTTCTATCATGTTTTACCATTTCACAGAGGTTTTATTCTTCTTAAATAAGATTGTATAGTAGTCATCTTCTCCATACTCTGTTCAGTCTAAGAATGTGAAGTTACCACATGTTCCTCTTCAAAACCTGGACGCAAATGGGTGGATATTAATATTTATCAAATATTTACTAGGTGCTAGTCATTGTTCTAAACATACCATGTAAAGTTACTCCCTTGACTCCTCCTAGGAGTCAATTTCATTATAAGGTATAGGTGTATTTCTCTCTCTAGAAGACCTAAGGGCAGTGGTACATAGTCTTGGACTATGGAAGGAGTTCCCCCTATATTGTGTTATCCTTGAGAAGTATAAAATTGGATGTTGACTACACAGCTTTCTCCCCTGCCCCTACTCTACCTGCCAATAGGCCAATAATGTTGCATAGCCATAGTAGAAACTACTGGGTTTTTTTGTTTGTTTGTTTTGTTTTGTTTTTTGAGACAGGGTCTCACATGTAGTTCAGGCTGGGCTTGAGCTCACTTGTAGCCCAGGCTGGCCTCGAACTCGCAACGATCCTCCTGCCTCAGCTGGGATTACAGGTGTGTGCCACCACGCCCAGCGAAACTACCATTCTTGAAGAAGCCCATTTCCAACTGGAATTGTCACAAGATTATTTTCTTTCACATCTTGTCCTAGTATCTTTGTCTAACCCCCACAAATATTGACAATATTCACATCGTCTTATTTTTAGGGTACACGGGTCACATAACTTTTTGTGGCACTGAGTCTGAAATACATCTTTCTTACTATTTTATGAACTTACTGTTTGGTTTTACCTTTAATACTTACATGTATCGTGTTAAAGAAAACAAAAACTCTGTATATATTTCTCAACAGCCACATATTGGATCTTAGGGGCTAAATATTACACAGTTTTATTTTCTACAATAGTATTCTTCAAATATGAGTAATAGTCTAAGCCTTTCTGAAGCTGGAAAGAGGGTAGAATGAGAAAAGATGGAGAATTTGAAAGAAAAATGTTAATATATATGCGGTATTAAATCTGTCTTGTTTGTTCAGGGTTTTAGAACTGAGAATAGTAAGTCTGCTAGAAAAACTGCTAGTTTCACATGAAACTTTATTCCAAAGAAGTCTAATGTATTTTTTAAAGATTGTAAGGTTGATGCCAGGTGTGAGAACTCAGAAGGTTGAGGCAGGAAGATCCCTGTGAGTTCGAGGACAGCCTGGGTTACACAGTGAGTTCAAGGCCAGCCTGACTGCAAAGTCAGACCCTGTCTCATAAAAAGAAAAAAAAAGACTGTGAGATTGTAGTAATATTGTTTTTGACCTTATGATGGTAGGTTTATGTGTTATCATGATACATAAAAGAAGAAAAAGATAAAAATGATGTACAGGGCAAGGCTGGGCTTGGTGGCACATCCCTGTAATCCCACAGTAGGGGGGCTGAGGCAGGAAGATCACTTCTAGTTTGAGGCCAGCCTGAACTATATAGCAAGACCCTGTCTCAAAAAATATATATATGTAGAAAGAAAAAAGGAAGGGAAAATATGCACACACACACACACACACACACACACACACATACACACATATGCACATACATATATGTATACACACACATACGCAAGATAGCTAAGAGAATTGTATTACTAATTTCTATTGGTTTGTTGAAAGGAACAGTTAATGTTTAATTGTTTGATCAATCTTACATGCCCATATCTGGTTATCTGAGTAACCAATTTGAAGATAACAATATGTAATACAACAACCATTGTTAATTTCCTATCACCTTGTTTGAAATTCTGTATCATTTTCATTGTTTATATTATTTTGTTTATGTCTTTGCATTTGTTTTTGTTCTTTCCTCTTTAAAGTAAAAAAAAAATCTAAAAATAAAAATCTATGAATAAAAGTACAAATGGTAGTGACTTTGATACCGAAAAGCCAGGTAATCAATCCAAGGCTTGCTATAGGAAATGGAATTTGTTCATTACCAAATGTTATAAAAACCCACTGCAATGAATATATTCATACATATAAAGTACATATTTTATATTTCCTACTTACGTATAAACACACACACATATATCTACATCACCTTAATTTTGCTTTACATACAATTACAGTTAAGGAGGAAAAACATTATATATCCCATATGGACATTTTTTAATGGAATAAAAATGCTGATGTGTACAATAAGGATGAAGCCTGAGGAACAAATCATACCTTTATTCTTACTAACCCAATAAATGTATAGCACAGCCCTCCAAAAATCATGAACAAAAGTGTATTTGTCTGAAAATTGAACCTTTATGGGAAATAGAAATTTTCAAAGTAATAGGAAATAAAAGAAAGGAAATTTAAAATACATTTTTTGAGAATGTTAGTAAATGAATGGTTAAGTAATCAAAACAAAAGGGACACAAGGAACCATCTAAAACAACAGTGTATGTCGAGTTCTTAGACTGATGTACAAGAAAAAGTGTGAGGAAGTGAATGGGTAGTGCAAGCTGAACTGCTGTTTTTCCTTGTTTCTTTTGTTAATATCCCCAGAAGTTGGGCACCCTGTTTTATATAGTACGACAGTGAAGGTGGAGAAACACCTCGCTCATGTTCCAGTTGTCTGTGGTTTCCCATTGTTTTTTTTGTTGTTGTTGTTTGTTTGTTTGTTTTTTTGTCTTTTTGAGACAGGGTCTCGCTATACAGTTCAGGCTGGCCTTGAGCTCTCTTTATAGCCCAGGCTGGGATCAAACTTGCAACGATCCTCCTGCCTCAGCCTCCCAAGTGCTGGGATTACAGGCGTGTGCCACCATGCCCAGCTCCCATTGTTTCTATATTTTCCCACCAAGATAAGTCCTTAGAAGGAAGGGTGGACACTCAGGGCAGTTGTCCATGGTAAAACTGGAGAACAGCTTCTCTCCGGGGTTCTCCTTCAGATGTTTACCAGTGGCTTTAGATAGCAGTGGTGTTCCCTTCCCTACAAATTGGTAGGCCAGTAGTGCAGTATTTTCCAAATGCAAGCTACTATTTACATGAGGAATGTATATGGTGACTCCTTACTTTCAGTCTAGTTCTTGATGCTAATTCCTTGTGAGACATTTGATATACCTGTATGTACAGCCAACATTTTTAAAAAATAAAATTAACAACGGAAGCAGGTTTCTCTCTTCTATCCCTATCACAACCCAAAGACAAAGCTGAGGTACTTTATACCGCAGTAAGAGAAAACAACATCTGCAAAGCTTTAGCCGTGGCTCGGAGCTGGGAAGGTAAGGTTAGAATTTCAGAATTGGAATTGTGGTTTAAGGTAGGTTTTTTAGCGTGAGAGAAGGGGTGAGAGCAGCCTGCTTTAGATGAGGTGAGGATCTCAATACGACAGTCCAAGATCATTAGGCAGAAGTAACAAGTAGAGGTTTCCAAGGTGAGGAAGTACAAGAATCTTAGCGTATAAACTGTCCATTTGTGCTTTCCATTGAAGGCCGGATGAGTCTTTCAGGCAGTGCCTGTGGTAAACAAATCTTTTGCTACGAAGAATAAAATCATGCTAATGAAGACAGAGGGACAGCAAAGTCATGCTTGTGAAGACCAGAGGAATAACGCACAAAGTCATATTAACATAGACAGTGGTTTTTCAGCTGTAAGAGTCCAGGCTGAGAACAGTGGTAGGAAATTTTCATTCTTGTTATGAAAGTCAGTTTAATGAAATTGCATGTTTCTTTTAAACAGTTCCATGAAGTTAGTGCTCATAAAGTGGGCTACTGTGTAATAAATTATTTTCAGTCTAGTTCTCACCTCTGCTAATGTATTCTGGGGTATCGTAAGTGAAACAAACATCTGTTATGCTTTGTGAAGAAGAGATAGAATATGCGTGGTCAAGCCGTAGATTGCGGAGGCTGTCTCTGAAAGGTTGTGTTCATTTGATGTAGGGTAACTTAAAAGCATTTGAAGCTATTAAAAGTCTTCTAGGACTTCTATAAAATACTTGCAATTTATATAGTTTTATACTGAAAATCATGTTTATTTGTAGTGAATTACAACATTTTAAAGATGTTAAAAGGGAGCAGGGCATGGTGGTGCACGGTAACCCCAGCACTCGGGAGGCCGAGGCAGGAGGATCGTTGCAAGTTTGAGGCCAGCCTGAGCTACAAAGTGAGCTCAAGGTCACCCTGAACTGCATAGTGAGACCCTGTCTCAAAAAGACCAAAAAAAAAAAAAAAAGATATTAAAAGAATTCTCTGGTTCTTTTGCTACTTTTGGGAGAACTATATTTAAAAGAACATTACTTAATACTACTACAAAAATAATTTAATTTTAAGTACTTACTCAAATCACTCTTGATTGATCCCCAAGGGATACACCATTTACTTGGAGCCTGGCAAGGTAAATTGCTTCAGTACACTGCAAAAGAAAGCCACTGAAATATTCACGATGTTTTGAAAACTTCTGTGCATAGTCGCTGCTATCCCCAGAACATTAAATAATTGCTACTGCTACTACCAAATGAGAGTTGCAGTACAGCGTAATGATTCAAAGGATAGGCTTTGGGGACCAGAGATGAAACCTTAGCTCTGACACCGAGTAACCTCTGTGCCTCGGTTTCCTCATCTGTAAAATCCATCTTAACAGTTACCTTTAAAATTCTCTGGAATTGAAACCTAACTGTACATCATTTGTTGAAGTGCTTCCCAACAGAGACTTTATAAAAATAAAGAACATTAATCCAACACTCATAAACTGAAGGCAATAAAATTTCTAGGGGCATATGCCATTAAAATATATTCAAATGAGTTATATAAATATGTTAATAATTTCCTTCTTTTTGTGTATATGCAACTTACTACAGAAGTGTAGGGAAAGACCTGACTGATTATGGGTGGAAGATGATTCAGGGAAGGAGATGGTGTTTCAGGGAAAGAGATATGAGGAACAAGCCTGTGATCTGAGGAAAGAGGAATATTATAAGCCAAGGGGAAAAGACTGCCTTGGCCAGAGCACAGTCTATTGTGAGATGTTAGAAGGTGAGGCCATAGTCAAGTCCTGAAGATTTTTTATTGCCCCACTAAAGAGTTGAACTTGACCCTCTCTTTCCCTCCATGCTTTCATGCATGCTTCCCCACTCATCCATCTATTCAGTAAATATTTATTGAGCATATAACATGTGCTTAGGCACTGGAAAGCATCTCCAAACAGATCAAAGGTCTTCTTATCACAGTGCTCATACTCTTAATTGGGAGAGCTGTAACAAGAAAGAAGGGCCGGGGATATAGCTCAGCGGCAGAAGTGCCTGCCTGGCAAGCGTGAGGTCAGGAGTTTGATTTCCAGTATCAAAGAAACCCCCCCAAAAACCAAAGAACTATTGAGCTGGGTGTGGTGGCGCACACCTATAATCCCAGCACTTGGGAGGCTGAGGCAGGAGGATCGTTACAAGTTTGAGACCAGCCTGGGCTACAAAGTGAGCTCAAGCCCAGCCTGAACTGAATGTGAGACCCTGTCTCAAAAAGACCAGAAAAAAAAAGAACTATATAATATGTCAGAGAGATAAGGAGTAAAATAGGGAATATGGTAACGGGCATAACAAGTGTCAGCAAGCGCTACACAGATGCCATTTTGTGTAGGATGACTAGAGAAGCCTTCACAGATTCGGTGCACTTGAGAGGGTTTTAAAGCAGCTGTGTATTTTGGAGGAAACATGTTCTTGACAGCGGAAACTCTAAGTTCAAAACCCTGTGTAGCTGGAATAGAGTGAGAATAGTCAGCGGTAATGACAGGGAATATTTGAAGGGTTCTAAAGCTGGAGAACACCATCAGCTTTATATCCTCCTAAGATCACTGACAGCAGAGAATTGTAGAGGACAGGGTGGAGAGTGCAAGTCAGAGGATGGTCACTAGGAAGCAAGGAAACGATTCAATAAGAATACTGATGGTCTTTAGGGGTATTTAGAATGCGGAATTGACAAGCTGGTGACTGGGTACAGTGGGCAAGCAAAAGAAGAATGATGCTTGGTCTCATCAGTCAGGAGAGTAAATAAATAAGGAAAAACTAATTTTAATAGGAATGGGAGGAAGACTGGGGAAACATGGTGAGAAATTTTGTTTATTAGGGACATACTGGGTTGAGGGACTTGTGGGACATCCAGGTGGCTGCAATCAAGTGTGTACCCAGAGGTAGAGCTTATTCGGGGTTCAGGGAAGATGCAGGCTGCAGATGCAGATTTGGAAGGGATGGGATATACAGATGATGGTCAAAACCGTGTAATGTTTTAGTAGTAATTTAATCATAAAAATATCTGTTATGTTTAAAAATCTGGTATTTTTACAACCCACTGTCTCTTGCAGATAACCTGTAGATAAGACCGTAGAAAGTACTTCCACATACATATGTCTTTTGTTTGTTTGTTTGCTTTGGGCAATTTAGGAAAATTTAAACCTAGCCCTGAATTCTGCCTCAGCCATTGGGTGTACGGTGGTCAACATCGGAGCACAGGACCTCAAAGAAGGAAAGCCTCACTTGGTCTTGGGTCTTCTCTGGCAGATCATCAAAGTTGGTCTTTTTGCTGATATTGAAATTTCTAGGAACGAAGGTACGATGATCAGAAATAGTTCATTTGCATGGATACATACTTGCTGCAGGAAAAACTTAGCTTTCACTGTTTTCCTTTTAGCTCTGATTGCACTGCTCAATGAAGGTGAAGAACTTGAGGAGCTGATGAAGCTTTCTCCCGAGGAATTATTGCTACGATGGGTGAACTACCACCTGACCAACGCAGGATGGCGTACCATCAGCAACTTCAGCCAGGACATTAAGGTTTACATTTTAGTGTTCAAATCTGTGACATGAAGTAAGGGTGTGGAATTTGAAAAATAAGGGGGTTCTGACTTAAACTTGAATTCAGTTTACACTGAGATACAACATGAAGTTTTATATTTTCTGTCTAGTAGATTCTCCCAAATACAGTCACAAAATCTTTTAATGAACTAAACTGATTTACTAAAAAAAAATTTTTTTGTTTGGTGCTGGAGATTGAGCCCAGGGCCTCCTGCACGCTAGACAAGCTTTCTACTACACAGCTTCATACCCAACCCCAGATATTTGTGTGTATGTGTCTTTGTATGTTTTATTATTTTGGGTTTTTGAGACCGGATCTTCTTATGTAGTTCAGGCTGGCCTTGAACTCTCTAAGTGACACAGGATGGCCTCCAATTTGTGATCCTTCTGCCTCAGCCTCTTGAGTGCTAGGATTATAGGCATGAGCCACTATATGTGGCTCTATTGATTTTTAATATGAACTGTAACTGCCTGTGAGAAGGAGCTGTTAGCCTTTGCATGTTAAATCATTCTTTCCCATTTTATATGCCACACATCTACTAAGTTATAGTGAGGCTGTTAATCTGTTAATTTGGACTGAGGTCATATCTGTGTGCCGTAGTAGAGGCCCTTGTGGGTTTGACCAATATTCCTACTTCCACTTCGCCAAGAACTAACTACTGGGAAACCAAATTGTCTGAGGCCAACGGAATCAGTAGATGAGAAGGATCTTAAGGTGCAGCTTCTAAAGTAGCTTGAAACACTTTTCTCTCTACTGCGAGAGTCTTTTCAAAGCAACAGTGACATTTATTTCTGCCTAACAACTCTCCTAAGGTTATTGCTGGTATAGGCACTGCCAAACTGGCTTCTGGTGACTTTTTTCTTTTCTAGTATATATGTATGTATGTGTGTATGTATGCATGTATAGATGTGTGTGCATATATATGTATGTATGAATGAATGATTGACTGGGGACTGAACTCAGGGCCTTGACACTGAGCTACATCTTTAGCACTTTTTATTTTTAGGACAGCCTTGCCAGGTTGCCCACGCTTGGCCCGAACTTGCAATCCTGCCTCAGCCTCCCAAATCTTACAGCAGTGCTGTCTCTAATTCATAATCCCTGTTTAGATACGGCGGCTCTTTCAGACATGTTTTTGCTGTAATGGCCTGGATGACACATGCTGTCTTTGAAGCGACACTGTTCTCTCTGCTTTTACTTGCTGATTTAAAAGTTTACTTTCAGGGTTTCTCTTCTGTTTTTTGTTTTTTTTCTGGTACCAGGAATTGAACTTACAACCTTGCGCTTGCCAGGCAGGCGCTGTGCCGCTGAGCTAAATCCCCAGCCCCCAGGGTTTCTCTTCTTCTGAATCCTCCTACAATTCAATTCGATTCAGCTCATTCAGAGATTTATTTTGTCCCTCTGTGGGGCATTGTGCTAGCCATGGGTGACGCAGATACATACCTCTTGGGGAGCTTACTAATTATACACAGCAAACCATGCAAAACTTACTGGCTTAAAATAATGATTTATTATTCCTGATAATTTTGTGGGTTGATGCTTCTGCTGGGTGGTTCTTCACCATGTATAGTTATCACTAATCTGGTTACATTCAGCTGTCAGGTGGGCTCACCTGGAAGGCGTACAAGGGCATCTGTCACATGTATGGTGCCGCATTGCACCTCCAGCAGGCCCCTTCGCGTGTTCAGATTGGGCTTCCTCACAGCACGATAGTCTCAGACAGTTGGACTTCCTAGGTAAAGGGAGGAGAAGCAGAGGCTGTCATGATTTGGCAGTTCTAGACCATCACTTTTACAGCATTCTGTTGGTCAGACGAGTCCCAAGGCCAGTCCAACTAAAAGGGGAGGGAAAATAGACCCTGCTTTTGTGATTGGAGGAGCTATATGTATGTACGGAGCATTACAATAATCATCTGTGAACATGACTATGACGATTTCGTAAAATGTGGTCACAGGTGATTATAGAGATGGCAGGGAGTGCTTTACAATAGAGAAGAAGTTATCTGGTTCATTCTAGAAAAGTAGGGAAGCCTTCTGGGACAAAATACTTGACCTGAGAAGCCGGGCGTGGTGGCGCACGCCTGTAATCCCAGCACTCGGGAGGCTGAGGCAGGAGGATTGTTGCGAGTTCGAGACCAGCTTGGGCTACAAAGTGAGCTCAAAGCAGCCTGAACTGCATACTCAGACGCTGTCTCAAAAAGACCAAAAAAAAAAAAAAAAAAAAAAACAAAAAACAAAATACTTGACCTGAATCTTCACACTATGCTTGGAGGTATAAATAGATGAGAGAGGGGAGTGTGTATGTGTGTGGCGGGGGGAGACGCGTTCCCGGTACAGGGAATAGCATCGTTAGCTCTGAGGTGGGCAAGAGGACTGCTGAAATCTCTGAAGTATAAAACAGCATAGCGCAATTTAAGTGATTTGTATTAATAAAGTGACTAAGTTGTTTGTTATTCCATTTTGGGGGGTGGGGCGGTTTCCTCAGGGTGGGCACTTTGCCCCCTAAATTTCATGAGATTTTATTCACTTTAAATATGTCGTTTATCTTTCCTTAAAGGATTCAAGAGCCTATTTTCATCTGCTTAATCAGATTGCCCCTAAAGGTGACCGAGAAGATGAACCTGCCATTGCCATTGACCTTTCAGGATTTAATGTAAGTGTAGTTTTAAAATTTGTTTGTATATTGAAGCAAAATGATGTGCAACGTAAAAGTTACCATTTTATCATTTCTGAGTGAACGGTTCAGTGACATTCACTACATTCACGTTCCTGTGCAACTGTCTCCACCGTCTCGGGAACTTCCTCCTCTTCCCCCAGTGAACCTTTGTACCCATTAAGCCGTAACTCCCCATCCCAACGCCGCCCCCACCCCTGATAACCACTGTTCTACTTCATGACCGTGAACCTGACTGGTAAGTACAGTTCAAACTTCATTATAATTAAGAGCATAGTTCTCCACAGGGAGCATTCCACCGTGGAGTCCTCAGCCCTTCATTAGAGGGGACCTTCATGGTCCTTAGAAGGTTTTTCATGTCCTAGGCCATGCTAATTCATCTGGCTGTCCTGACCGAAGAAGGGGAATTGCAAAATTTTAACCTTGAATATGTGTGGATCAGTCTTATTATCCACATTTCTCTGCAGTAGTGTAACTGGAATCAGAGTGTTTTTGTGACTTGTCACTCTGTTCAAGAAAGGGAGCAACAAGCTGGTATTAGATTGCTAAGCAACCGATAATCAGTTCCACAGCCGACATTTAGAAATACACACAATAAAGGATGGCAGTTCCTACTAATGTTCTGGGTAGAACTGACACAGATCCTGAAGCCCCTAACACACTTCTTAGGAAGTCCGTTCTTTTAGCATAAATTTTAAGTAGCAGAGATGGTTTTATCTAAACTTTAAAGTCTTGTCAGGCTACAGTGTGGAAGTATGTTAAATAAAGTGCAACATCCATAACTGGTTTTAAAAGCAATTTGAGTTACTACTAATAATTTATATTTCACATTATTATAATGAAATGTCATATTTAGTACTGCAAAACAATGCAAACTTCGCAAATTACTTTGCGTCAAAAAATCAGGAATTTAAGCCGGATGTGGTAGTGTATGCCTATAATCCCTGTACTCAGGAGGCTGAAGTAGGAGGATCGCTTCAAGTTTGAGGCCAGCCTGGGCAACACTGAGTTCAAGGCCAGCCTGCTGAACTGCATAGCGTGACCCTGTTGCAAGAAAAAAAAAAAATCAGGACTTTAAAAAAAGCACTATGGAAAATTTTAAATACATTCAACAGTGAACAGAGTTCATATATTAAACTTAATATACTTAAGTTAAAAACTTACCCACTCATCAGTGAATGCCTTATCTCTGGAAAGTTAATAATACAGGTAATCTGTGATGTCACCTAGTGATTGTCGACATTTCCAGTTCCCTTTAAATGTTCATTTAAGGTCCAAATAAGGTTGATGTCAACTTTGGTAACTCCTCATTGTGTGATGCATTGAATCTATCACTTTCTTTGATTCAATTTACGTTTTTACTTCTTTACAACTCTGGTACACAAAATTTGATATGTTATACTCTGGTTATGTTATATTCTTGTGATAGATACACATATCCCCCTCTTATTTTTATTTTTGGTTGCTTATTCTTTAAATTGTAACAAGCCCCATAAATGCTCAATCCAATGAGAGAACTAAGACTTTGACATTAATTTAGCTGTGCAGTTCTTTCCTATTCTCTGTGCCGAAGCTAATGTGGTTACCACCATCTTGAATCTTATGTTCACGGTACTTTTTGCTCTTTTATATAGTCTGCTTTGATCCTAATGTATTCCACGTAAAATTAAATTTTTATTCTAATTTTTACTTAAGATTGTACTTAAAATTATACTGTAGTACTTTTTATATTTAAGTCACACTGTTTTACATATTGCATGAATATACTAGCTTATAGGTATTTGACTTGCTTTGCTTTTAGGGTTTTACAGCTGTGAAAGGTGCTTCCTTCTGATTTTAATGTTTTTGTATGAGTTATGCATCTCAATTTTCTTTTCATTGAGAAAAGTACCTACCAGGAATGTCACTTAGTATACAATGGGTGAGGTAACTAAGCTTGTTACCCAGAGGCCACAATACTAGGGAGTTTGTTACCTGTACTGTACTTTGACCAGTAAGAGCTTACTGATTCTCTATCTGAGAGTTTTGTTGAGTACTTCAACAGTGTGCGTGAAAGATGTCTTAGTAATTTCAGCGTTAAAACTGAGGGACTTATTCTTTTTGATATAAAAGATAAGGGGAAGTTGATTTGTAATTCCTGCACATTCTGACCTTGAGTTATTATTTTATATATTTGTGGAAATGTAATTACTTATGAATGTGTATGTCTATAAAACTATACCAGTTACAAGTTGCATATTAACCATTGCACTTTTGTTTCATTGTGTAGGAGAAAAATGACCTGAAGCGTGCTGGATTCATGCTTCAAGAAGCAGAGAAACTAGGCTGCAGACAGTTTGTGACTCCTGCAGATGTGGTTTCAGGCAATCCTAAACTTAACATGGCCTTTGTAGCTAATCTCTTTAACACATACCCGTGCCTACACAAGCCTAATAATAATGACATCGATATTAATTTATTGGAAGGTATGTTCTTTCTGTCTTGAATTGACATACTGCATTTCTTTCCTTGTGGTATTGTCCTACTTCACTGTCAGAGCTGGAGGATTGTGGGGGGAGATGCCATTTCCGGTGTATAGGCCTGGCATCCATTCAAAAGTTCAAATTATAGAAAGTGGTTGTTGCTGTTGGTTTTGCTTAAAAAGGAGTAGTGGGATAAATGTACTTATCTATCATTTCTCTGTTAGGAGTTTATTGAGAACTATTAAAATCTGAAACTATGAAAACATTTAAAATAGTATCATAAATGATCTTATGACAGTGAATTATCTATTGGGAACATAATTTGTAGATTTATTCTCCTTTGAAAGTGAATGTGACTTCAGTATTACACTTTTTAATGTCTTCCATGTACATGAAAAATTATAATATTCATTATTTGTCTTGTGTTTGTTATCTGTCTCATAATATATAACACTTTCCTGTTTTGCTTCATGAAATGCAGATTTGACCCCTCCTAATGTAGGTACTGTATTTAGTACTTTTCTATACTCTGAATATATCCGTTCTGAATGTTTTTATTAGTGCCATTTATTTTTTTCCATCTGGGTTGATATTTATTTTTTGCATTGTTCATGCTGTGTTATTTGTCTTAATATGCCTATAGAATGAATACCTGCAGGCAAAACACACAAATCAAGCTTAAATAACAGAGCAAGGCTTTGATTATATAGACTGTTCACCTCATTTGCCTTCTGTAAGGATGGGACATTATAGTGTAAACACACTGGAAGTGAGTTTTGACAGTTGGACTTAATGATTTGATGTAAAGTCTTTATCCCTCTCCTGTGATAAATCTTATATTTTATCACAAGTAATCCTTGAAAGGACTCGTTTAGGTTCTATGACAGATTTTTTATATTATTTAGCTTTGTTATATTTACTGAATGTCATTGAAGCTTACAATATATGAATTGTCATCATGACAAAATCATTCTCCATGTCTAGTTCTCTCTCCTTGTCTGTGTTTACCAAACTTTCTTCTTTCCTTGTTATCATGCCCTCACCCAGTATCCACCTTATTATCAAAGGGAAAGTACAGACAGTGGCAGCAATGAGATAGTTGTTGGAGGGAAGCGCTAAGCCTAAGATTTGCTCTTTAGTTTCCCAGATTGGGAGGAATTGGCGAAATTTGACATTACTGTGTTCATTCTCTCATATAACCACCCTTATTCCCTTCCCCTGTGAGACAGAATGAGAAATCAGTTTCATGGTCTTTTTCCTTTGACTGCCACAACTAGACCTGTAATGTCTTTGTTACTACATAGCTACAGTTTTGTGATTAAGAGATTTCAAATTTAAAAAATATATTCTTTGAAGAATACGATGAATCCAATTCTTTCTGCCTGATGGTTTAATTAAATAAATAATCACTCTATTTTCTATACAGTTTACAACTGAGAGGGAAATAGACAAAAATGTAGATTGTTATTAGCAAAGAGGGTACAGGATTAGAATTTTAAAAAAAGAAATACTGCTAAGATTTATCAGTCTGGAAAATTTCAGAAGCTCTCTGTGTCTTACGTAGAAGGCATTGTTTACAGTGGCATATTAAAAATGATCTGCTTTTTATAGTCACTGAATTCTTGCTAGATTATCTTCTCTAACTTGCTCGCTCTCCTGTTTGTCATGTTTGAATTCTTTTGCTAGTGTTCAGCATGCTTTTGGAACATTTTAGTGTGAATAGGATTGCTATATATTTCCATTGGTACAGTCATTTATTAAGGTACGATGGGAAATATTTACCAATCATCTTAATTTTGAACATATGTATGTCCCGATACATCTGCCAAAAATGTATTTGACTTTGACTGTCATTAAAATATTTTCCTCTGTAAATTTGTGTTTTTATAGATCCTTATGAAATTTGAAGCTTGACCTTATCACATCACAAATTCATATATTAGTATGTCCTCATTGGCAGAGAATTTTATCTCTAGGGAATTAAAACTTAAAGCCCAATTAAACGTTAAACTTTCATATCATTTTGAGCAAAACACATGGGCTAGAGACATCATCTCAGGGTTTTTTGTTGTTGCTGGTTCGTTTTGAGACAGGGTTGGTCTCACTATGTAGTTCAGGTTGGCCTGGAACTCATGATCCTCCTGTCTCAGCTTCCTGAGCGCTGGGGTTACAGGTGTGCACCACCATGCCTGGCCCATCTCAGAATTCATATTGGTGATAAAAAGTACAATAGGTCACAGAGTTTAGAAAGACTTTGTTCAAATCATGGTCCCACCATTTAATATCCTCTGTGAGCTTTGGTTTTCCCTCATAACACAGGACTAATAATACTTATTTTTAAGTGTTCCAGAGAAAGTTAAGTATGATTATGACTGAAGGGATTTTACCTACTGTATATACTCATTAATGTGGGAAACTATTTAATACACCACAGCACATTTAATGATTGTTGAATATATATTAGTCATTGTCTTTCCTTTTAGTAGCCTACTTACCGATATATGTATATATATAAGGGTGGTACTGGCAATTTTACCCAGGGACCTCACACTGACCTACACTTCAGCCCTTTCTGAATTTTTATTTTGGGTCAGAGTCTCTAGCTATGTTGCCCAGAGAGACTGACTGGCCTTGAACTTTCAATCTTCCTATCGCAGCTTCCTGAGTAGCTGAGATTACAGGTGTGAAGCACCATCCCCAGCAATATATGTGTTATTTTTATTGAGACTTTACCAATTGCAGATAGTTCTGTGTTATTTATTAGTTATTAAGAATTTAATTCTAAGATTGCTTTAGTTGTCTGCAATCCAATCTGGAATACATATGTTTTTGTAATGCTTTACTATGGGTCTTGCACAATGCATAGTGTTTCTAGCTGTGAGCATTTATTTACTAAGACAACTTGAAATTATAGTAGATAAATAAATGCTCACTTTTAAAATCCATTTTACTTTTCAGGATCAAAAATTAAAATGGTAATAAATTAGCTGAGAGCATCAGGAAGAAATGAGTCCCTGAAGCTTATAGTAATTGTAGAACTTGTTCTTCTAAAATATTTAATATATCAATAGGTTCAACAGAATTTGAATATTTTAATCCAAAACTAAACCAGTGTAATAGTTTTTCTAATTTTAGGACATAAGTTGGATTTTGCTAGCCGGGAATAATAGGAAATTCTTCTAATTACTAGAAAAAAATTATATAGATATACGGCACGCATATATATGTATACACACACACACACTCACACATATTTATGGCATCATGATAATAAGAGAAAACAACAAAAGGTGAATCCAAGTCACGTGCATCAAGCTATTTGTCACTCCTTATTTATATTTATATAACGTGGGGCACAGTTTAGAGCTTTAATTTGTACTTGTTTAATTATTTCTATATAAACAAGGTCGGTATAGATTTTAGGAATGTTTAGTTTAGTTTGGTTCTTTCTTTAAAAGATCTTCAATGTAGATCATTCATTATAAAGTATGTGTAGCAGATACAACAAATTGATAATTACCTTTTATGAAGACCAGAGGGAACAATATTTAAGCAAGAAATTACATGGTTGTGTGACTTATAGAGCAAGAGCAAAGCACATTCTGGGAAAACTGTTAGACAGTGGAGTTGAAAACCACATGAAAAGGTCCTGGGCAGTTCATTTCCTGAACAGTTGCCAAGAATAACAGAATCCCTTAGATCACACAAGGCTTTGGTTCCTGTTCTGATTGTGCAGTTTGTACTATCTGTGGCCCTTTGAAGATGGCATTACTGTCTTGGGATGGATTCTGAAACTCAGATGGTTATAGAATTCTTTGCCAAATGCCTGAGTCTCACATGGGCTGAAGTCTAGGCAATGACCTGAGCTTGCTTATGAGTTAAAGGTGATGAGTGGTGAAAATTTTTTAGCTTTTCATGAGTCTGGTGAAAAGAGATAGTCTGGGTTTTTCCATTAGCTGCTAACTTGGCTAAAGAATGAACAGTAGTATTATAGACACTTAGAAGTGTTTTTAGTCAGGAGGTGACTGTAAGGCGGATATAGCAGGGAAGATCTACATCTCTTCCAATTTTGTGATACACCATAATTATGTTTTCTTTATACATATGTAAGCACTGGTATAAAGGGAATGCTCAGGGAAGAAGGGTTATTACAGGTTAAATATAGTACTTGCAAGAGTTATCTCCTTGACATGATCTTTGAGGCTCAGGAGTATACTACGATGAAACATGTCTTTCTCTTGGCTCACACTGGAACACTCTCTGGGGTCTGTGTCCCTCATGTATTTTCAATAGTGACAGCTTACTCAGGAAGCCTATACTTTCTCATTTCCTGTTTTTTATATTACCTGACATTCCCTCTCTCCTTCACTGTTTGGTGTAAAGTGCAGATTTGGAATCATAATCTGTATGAAATTAGAAATACTGCATTGGGAAAGATGGAACTTTTCTGTTTAATGTGCTAATGTCACTCTGATTGCTGAAAGACTGTTTTATGATCTTTAGCCAGATTCTACTGCATCTACCAGTCACTTCAGACTGTGTGAGATTATCTGTTACGTTTCTGAAGAGAGAAATCCATGGATCAATAGTACTTCACAGACATCAAGTAAAGCAGTCAAGAGGGAGAGACTGATTGAAATCTTTAGAAAGTCAGGATAAGAGATTTTCCCCCCTCTAAAAAAAACCTATAGGGTCTAAAGAACTATGGCAGCGTATGTATGGCCACTTTGTATCTGCTAGGATGGTTTTATGTATAGTTCCTGATTTTTTTATTCTGTCTACTCTAGGAGAGAGCAAAGAAGAGAGGACATTTCGGAACTGGATGAATTCCTTGGGAGTCAATCCATATATTAATCATTTGTATGGGTAAGTATTTTCTTGTGTTCCAGCCTTACTGTCAGGGTCCTTTTCCCCCACTTTGGGTTTGGGGATTGAACTCAATACCTCATGCCTGGTAGGTAGGTGTTCTACCACTGAGCTATATTCCCAGCCCCTCTAGCTCTTTAAGTTGCAAACTGTAGGTATGTTCATTTTCTAGAATTTTCTCAAGTCACAGAATTCAGTCAACACTGACGAGTTTCAGAATGCCCAGAATTGGCAATGCAATAATTGTAAAAGACAAATATTGTTTAAAAAGATAATAGTTATAACTTTTTTTTTTTGAGACAGGGTCTCCCTATGCAGTTCAGGCTGGCTTTGAGCTCACTTTGTAGCACAGGCTGGCCTCAACTTGTGACGATCTTCCTGCCTCAGCCTTCCAAGTGCTGGGATTACAGGCGTGTGCTATCACCCCTGGTATAACTTTAATATAAATCAGAAAAGATACTTCTTATTCTTTTATTACTGATCATGTAAGTTTTTTCATCATAACACATATTTTCTTCATTTATTTTTGCTACAACCTCAATTATTCTGTAATGATTTTGTCTATTTTCTTATTTGTAGGAATAATTAGTCTCTCCGGGTGTTACTGTAATTTCTATCTTATTCTTTCATGTTTAAAAATGATAATACATTATTAACACTGATTGGTAGGACTAAGAAAATATTTTACTAAATCATTTTTGTGCTGTTTGCTAGGGATAACAATAGAATCTTTCCTTTAAAAAAGTAGAAAAGAATTCAGTTGCCACTACTTCATTTTTTAAAAAGTCAAATTAACTAAACTGATAATTTATACACCAAGGAAACTCCTTAGAGGGTTTAACTTCTTAAAGAAGATGAACTAAATTACTATTCAAATATGTCGTAGCATATGGCCTTCCTGGCTGAGGATTTAATGCAGTAATTTCTTTTCCTTGGAATATATTAAAAATATTCTTCAAAATCTAAAACCAGCATCACCTTATTCTGCTAACTGGCCTTGATGTGCTAGACTTGTATTTGAAAAAATTTTAAATAGTGTATAAATTCTAGCTAAATGTGAAGACATATACATCGAGTTAGATTGGAGCTAAGTCTAAAATATCAGAGTGAAGGCTTTAAGTCTTTATGGACTGACTTTAAAAGAATATCTGTAATATATTATTGAGAGAAAGGAATAGATGTAGTCAATCCCATTTTATTTAAAGATTGCATATATATGTACTTACATAGGAATTTTTAAAGAAAATTATTGAGTCTTAGCAAAACATAACTCAGAGGATAAGCTTTTGGATGAAAAAAGTGACACGCTACATCACAGAGCTAGCAATTTAAAAAATCAATTGCTATTGCTTTATGTCCTTAGCATACAGAATGAAAAACAGATTTTACAGATGTATTTTAAGCTTCCCAAGGGAATTTATTTTTCTGAATCCCAAGCAGTAGTATTCTTACCTTAAGAACTCCTACTTGTTCATAAATCTCTTCCTGTTAACCTTTATTACTGAACACGAACAGCTGACTACTGAATAGCTGTGATGTTCCTATAATTAAGTTTCTAAAACTCATAATACATAAGTAACTCATGAACTCCTTTTCATGTGCAAGTTTCAAGAATACATAAATGGATAAAATGAAGGAAAACATGGTAATTCTTCCCTTGTCTCCATATGCCCTTCTTCCTGTGCAGAGGTAATCACTACCAAGAGTCCCTGGTATATAAATACATTTGACTCTACATTTTAAAAAAATAAAGATCAAACTATATTAAGTGCTCTGCCAAAAGCTTTTCATATCAGTATATACAGATTTACCTTATTTCCAATGGTGGCCCAGGAGTTCACAGTATGTATAGTTTACTCAATAGCCCTTAATGCTAGGCATTTAGTGGTTTCTGAATTTACAAATACTGTGAGTCAGGCATGGTGGCATGTGCCTTGCCAGCTACTCTTGGACCATGAGACCAGCAGTCCAAGGCCAGCTTGGGAAACACAGCTAGAGTCCATATGAACAAAAATCTCTTTCTCTGTCTTTTCATATGTGTACATGTGTGTACATAAACATATATAACACATAAACACATATGTATGTATAAATATACTGCGGCAACAAATGTGTGTCTTTGTAAACATTTATGAAAAAATTTGGGGTAGATTTTTAGATTGGAAGTTTCAGGTCTAATGATATGTCCTGTCATTCTACAAGCATTAAATGACCTTGTATTTTGTTTTATTTTATTTTTTGTTTTTTTGAGGCAGGGTCTCACTATGCAGTTCAGGCTGGCCTTAAGCTCACTTTGTAGCTCAGGCTGGTCTCGTACTTGTGAGATCCTCCTGCCTCAGCCTCCCAAGTGCTGGGATTACAGGTGTGTGCCACCACTCCCGGCTGACCTTGTGTTTTAAAAGGTGTATGTCCATCTCCAGTGTGCTTTATAAAATTCGTGGAAACACTTCTTCCTCCCTCATCTGCTTTTCCTCCCCGTTCTAGTGACCTTGAAGATGCTTTAGTGATCTTTCAGCTCTACGAAATGATTCGCGTGCCAGTCAACTGGAGCCAGGTCAACAAACCTCCTTACCCCGCTCTTGGAGGGAATATGAAGAAGGTGAGTGAAATAAACACCATGGATAGGTTGTTACTATTCTGATACAAAACAGAGGATTTAGGGTCTCATAAAGCTCAGTAAAGTGTGATTTATCCCCACAGTTCTTTTTCAACCCAAAATGTATTAAGCTTATTATTAATAGCCTTTTTACAAGTTAGCTTTAGTAAATCTTTGGGAAGATGAAGGCAGTCCTCCTGTTCAGATGCTTTATATTTGTTTTTCTTTAGCAAGTTGTAGTAATTAATATCACTGAGATGCAGCATAAGTGTACTCTTGTAATTGCTACATCTTGCTGAATTATTAGTGGTTATTCATTTATTCAGCAGATATGTACCTACTGCCTGAAAAGTGCAATGCGTGACAGCAAAAAAGTACGAGTCATGAAGCTCTAGAGAAATCACAGAGATGAGATATGTATAAACTACTTCAATACACTACAGTGTAAGCAAAGTGAATACGACAGTTTTTAATTTTGGTTTGGTTTGGTTTTTGAGATAGGGTCTCGCTGTGTAGTCCAGGCTGGTCTTGAACTCATGATGTGGGCCAGTTTGGTCACGAACTGACTACATAGCCGGATGGGCCTCAAACTTGTGATCTTCTCATCTTAGCCTTGCAGCTGCTTGGGATTATAGGCGTGCTTGGCTATTATTACAGGCTTTAAAGAAGAAATGAACACAGGTCGCACTTAGCATGCAGGAGGCTGTATTTGGGTAGACCTTTCAGAAATGGGTAGAATTTTGTCACATTGTGACTGAAGAAGAAGGTGCAGGTTTTAAAATGGTTTTAAAATGGTGGGGAAGTGTGTTTCTGGAAGAAAACCAGTTTTTCTATAGCAGAGGATTTTGATAAGTAAGCAAAATGTGAACACTAAGAATTTGGGTTGGAGCGTAATCTTGAGAACCTTGAATGCCAGATTAAGAAGCATGTGCTTTAAACTGTAAACAGAGGGAAGTCATTAAATGTTTTTGAGGAGGGCAGTGACCTGATTATAGCTGGTGAAGGAAGTACGAGAAGAAGAATGTAAAGAGAAATACTTTTCTTGAGTTCTTCTTAAACAGGTGATCAGAAGTCTCACTGATGTTAATATTAACCGTGTTGAAACAGCTGTGGTTTTGCTTTTGCATTTCTTTTTGACTTCCTGTTTTAGGGTCATTTGCTTTGTAAAATAAAATAATGTAGAAGTTTAAATTTTTTACACTTCCATCCTTTTGCTTAAATGATGTAATTTAAATATACTACACAAACCAATGGGTTCATTTTGCTGCAACTTATTCTACTTGGTTATTATGAAATTGAACTACATTATCTTGATGTTAAAACTACCTGTAGTTGAGTAAGTGCTAATAGAACCATATTTCTGGGAAAACGAAATTATTAAAAGGTACTCACTTTTTCCCAAAATAACTTATAGGTGGAAAGTAATTCCGATTAGAATTCTAAAAATTTTTTCAGTGCATGGAATAGGGAGTGGGAAAAGGTAGTTTATAGGTGTGGGTTGGGGTGACTTGTAAAACAGTTTTAAAGTTCTACTGGAGTAAGTGTGCATAGGCAAGCATGCTTGTCAATGATGTTGACAGAGATGCTACAAAATACTGGTCATGATGTAAAATGTAAAATTAATTATAAAGCATCACAAGTGAATCATATGCAGAATGCTTACTTCAACACATACTAGTTATAGATTGAAACATAAAGCCTGAGATAAACTCAAGATGACAGGGAATTATTTTATGGACTTTGGACAATCATCAACACACACCACTTTACTTGTGAAAGTTCATGAAGTTGCAGTATTCAACATCTTTCGTTATATTTTAAGTTTTCACTTGGAATCTTGTGTCCTGTTATGTAACTTCTCATTACCCAAATGATCTGTGCCTCGCTTTTATCCCAAGTATTTGAAGTGCTTGGTAATCCTTGTCCATTCACCATGTGAGACGCACACTCTAATTTTTCTTGCTTTGTGTTCATTCTTGTTTTGGGTAGGTTCCTCATCCGTTAGTCTGAGAACACCAGGAATTCCAAGGCTCAGTGTTGGTCTGTAGGTCTTCTACATTTTTTACCCCCTGGGAGTAGTTCCATTTTTAGGGTCCAAGGTGCTACCATAAACATAGCTTACTTCCAGGAACCTAATTTTTCAAATTTTTCATTCTTCTCTAATTTAGTACCTCTCCACATCCTAGAAGTGTTCAATCAAATTTGAAATTAAGTGCTTCCAAAAATAGAACACATCCTTTCTCTTACCTTAGTACCTCTTTCCAGTTTCTCTTTTATTACTGGTTATATCAACATCTTCGCCTCTACATGAGCAATGCTGAGCTCCTGTTTCACCATCACCCCTCTAAAGAATTTTGGTGAAACTGATTGTAAAGCAGCCCTTCACTGAGACACATTTCAACAACAATGATGATTAGAGTTTGCTAGGAGAGTCTCCTGTTCAAATGGGAATCCATGGAAAACATCCTAGATTTTCTTCCTGTTCACTGTTACATAATCAAATTACTGCTGGCATTTTCCATAAATTAGGAATCTGTTCCATTTTTTCAATTCTGTGCATTTGTGTAACATTTATTTCTATTATTAAACAGGTATAATTGAGTATGACTGCTAAGAAAATAATTTTGAAAGACTGTCTCCTTGCATTTAAAAAATGAACTCATGTCAGATGTTTCCCTTGGCTTAGGAAATGAACCAGGAAGATGTTACAGAGGGTTCAAAGGATCGTCTTGCATTTTTATTTGTAATAAACAGAACTATGGGAATTTGGATTTTCTTTTTTAAACCATATTATGTTATTTGTAAAAATTCTGTGATTGTGTGGTCTCTTTTTTACCTTTTCTAGAAATACTTTCCTATTTTTGGAAAGAGATGTATGTGTATATCTCAGGTTGAACTGTTTTGAAATGGAGCCTTAATTTGGGAAAGAAAATTAGATAAACCAGTCATATTATTTTTCTTAACTGTTTATTCCAAAAAGTATTTAGTAAGGACTTTTTTCCTACTGATAACATTGTACGATTATGGGAGTTTATAATTTCACTGAAGCATAAGCAAAACAAATTGAATATATAAGAATTTCTGTAAGTCCTAATAAAAGAGGTAGAGCAGTAAATAATGGAAATAAAAAACCTCTATAGAGACCAAGGTAGACGAAAAAAACTACAGAAAGGACTTTACCTGGACTTACATTGCTAGAAATAAATAGGCAGGTGAACAGGTGATTTACTTGGTGTTTATATAGCAGATTTTGACTGTAGGTAAGGCTTTGTACTGAGTCCTGGGCTACAAGTTAGGGAAGTATTAAGCAGATTTGTACCTGTAAATGTTTTTGTTCTTTTAAAGGAGCGTATACTATGGAGAGCAGAAGAAAACACAACAGCTAAGAATAAGTAGAACATGGTGCATAAGCATACAAAAAGAGCATTATTAGGAGTTCAAGGGATAGATCATTAGATTATAAGTGATAGACTACCAAGAGAGACAAGAGAGATATCATCATCATCTTTGATACAGGGTCTTGCTATGCAGTTTAGGCTGGCCTTCCACTCACTGTGAAGTCCAGGTATTACGGCAAAATTCGGGCTGTATTCCGCAAGAGACCAAAGAACTTTATGAGAACAGACAAAGTTTTAATTTAGACTGGTCACCTCTCATCCCGACTTGCAAGTCAGGGAAGTGGGCATGGGCCTGCCTTTGTTCCCAGCTTATATACCTTTTTGGTTTCCATGGTAACAGATTGGAATGTAGCCCTGGCCACATGTTGTTTTCCTTGTGCCAAGTGACCAGGTCAGGCTCAGGTCATGAGCGCAACCACAATGATATATATTTCCTGAACTCTGTTCTATATGTCCCCCTTTAGATAACCGTACATTTGCTTTATGGTTACAGTGTTTATGCGGAGCTAGGGAAGGTATGAAACAACCCAGGCAGGGTCATGGGTGGTTATCTAGGCCCAGGCGTTCTTTGTCTTTGGAGAACCATTCCAGGGCTAAGTCAGGATTGCAGAGTTAACTCTTTACAAACCCTCTGGGATGTTTCTCAAAACACATTTTGAGGCTTGCATTAAGACTAGAATTATTCTGTCTTAAAATGATATGCTAAGAGTCACCGTCCCCTACACAGGCTGGCTTTGAACTTGTGGCAGTCCTCCTGCCTCAGCCTCCTGGATGCTGGGATTGTAGGCATGTGCTATGATTCTTGGCTAATCATTATTTTTAATTAAAATTAAAACTTTTATTGAATAAAGTAGACTAAAAGCTAAATTTTGGAAGCTATACTAGTAATATCTAGATTAAAAAATATGAATTATGCAGTTAGATTCTCTTTGTGATACTAGGGATTGAACACAGGGTCACTCTGTCGCTGAGCTGTATCTCTAGCCCTTTTTATTTTTTATTTTGAGACAAGGTCTTGCTGAGTTGTCCAAGTGGGACTTGAACTTGTGGTCTTCCTGCCTCAATCTCCCAAAGTGCTGGAATTCCAGGTGTGCATCACTGCACCTAGCTTGAACTTAGCTTCTTAATGAAAATATTACTTCTCTATTCTGTAATTTTAAATCTAACAAAACTATACATTACCTCTATTAATGGAATACAGAAAACCTAGGTTTTCAGTCAGAGGGTGAACATTAATTAAAGTAGGCTCGAATCTTAACACTTTTCAGCCATGTGACCAGGTCAGGCTCAGGTCACTATGTAGGTTCCTTTAGCGTAATCCCTTGGTACTTTGTTATCTTCAGCTATAAAATGGTAATACTTATTCCTTGCTTTTACTGGGTTACTATTATGTAATGAAATTTGGTCAAATAAAGCATAACTGTGATTATTTTTTCAGGTAACAACTATGTTAGCATATTCAAGAGTTATATTTCAAAAAATCTTTTTTACTCTAAAACTTTTGCTTATTTGTAGATTGAGAACTGTAACTATGCTGTAGAGCTTGGGAAGAATAAAGCCAAATTCTCCTTGGTTGGCATTGCTGGGCAGGACCTAAATGAAGGGAATTCAACACTTACTCTGGCACTGGTATGGCAACTGATGAGAAGGTAAAGGCTGATATCTCTATAGCAACACTGTTAGTTTCCTTGAACAAGTCATTTGACCCAAACTTGTAGTTAGTTTTGAAGAATGAACACAGGAAATATATAATACAAAATATATAAATTTTGTGAATATATAGTATTGATTATATACAGTATCTTTTTGTAAATTATATTTTTAAATGAGTCTCTACAAACAATCACTTTTATTAATACCTATTAAAAATGGTTTTGTGAGCTGGGCATAGTGGTGCACTTCTGTAATCCCAGCACTCGGGAGGCTGAGGCAGGAGGATCAGTGCAAGTTTGAGGCCAGCCTGAGCTACATAGTGAGCTCAAGGCTAGCCTGAGCTACATAATGAGACCCTGTCTCAAAAACCGAAATAAATTATTTTTTAAATGGCTTTGTAGTCAGGTGTGGTGATATTACTGGAGGTAAGAGGAGTTCAAGCTTAAGGTTAGCCTGAAGCTGATGCAAGAAAGAGGAAATCAAGCTTGAGGCCAGCCTGAGCAATTCAGTGAAACCCCATCTCCAGGTAAAAAATTAAAAGGGTCCTGAGGATGTAGCTTAGTGGTAGAGCACATGGTGCACCCAGACTTGTATTCAATCCCCAGTACAAGGGAAAAAACGGTCTTGGAAAGAATTGGTCTGAATTTTTAAAGTGCCAAGTGAAAATTTTTGCTTTTGATGAGTGACCTTTGAAACTTTGGGATGTAACTAAATGCAAATGCCAGTCTAAAACTCGAAATATTTATTAGAGCTGAACTATTTATGTATTTATTTAAATATGGATATAAATTATGTGAAAGCAAATCTCACCACAGTTACTTTCAACTATGTATCTTTTTCCTGTTGCAGGTATACACTGAACGTGTTATCAGATCTTGGAGAGGGTGAAAAAGTAAACGATGAAATTATTATTAAATGGGTCAATCAGACTCTTAAGAATGCAAACAAAAGTACTTCTATTTCCAGCTTCAAGGTAATCAAAAGTTCTATTTTTTTTAAGTTTAAGAAGTAATTTGTATTCAGAATTACATTGGTTAGGTTCAGAATTACATTCAGTGTTATATCTTGAACACAAAATTTATGAATTTAGGCATACTAATTATTTGGCATGTGTAAAATAGAAATACTCAGTTTGAAGTCTTGTATTTTTGATCTGTTGTCCTACTGAGTATAAACGCAGGTTAATATGGTAATGTAATCTTAAAAAAGAAATAGAATCAAGCCAAAAACATCCACTTGTCAAATGAAAAAGATGAAAGCCATTGTTTATATAGGACGTATAATGTTTTGTGCTCCCTAGCAGCAGTCTCAGAATTGTATTGACATCATTTCCAAGGCATAACAGAGCCAGCCAAACCGATTCAAGTGGGAATTAAGAAACCTGGTAGGAACAAAATATCTTGTCATCTGGCTTCATAATGCACCTAACACTCACTTCCGAGCATTTGTGGATGATTCATACAGCACTCCAAATGTAATCTGTGTATACATAACCACTAACTGTCATGCATTTTCATTGTGTTTTGCTTTTGCATGCAAGGTGGCATTAGTTACAAACCAGCATGTCTGCTTGCACACATTCATTCAGTGAGCCTGTGTTTGTGATTTTATTGTATGTAAAAAAACCTAGCAGTTGTATTTTGTTAGTGCAATAAAGTGGAGATGAACACGAAGCTATGCCAAGAAATATCCACCCATCTTTATCCCTTTCTTTACATTTGCTGAATGTGCTTAGTAACATTGTAGAGTTGAAGAAAGGTCAGAAATTGATAAATCTTCTGACTGCCAGTTACTCTTTAAAACTATTATATGAAAATTATATGCATTTACATATTAATTTATTAAAAATAAAAGTATAATGAAATACAGCAAAAACCATTTAGGAACCAATTAATATTTACTGAGCTGTTAGTATTATGTAACTTTTCTAGGTAAATAAAAAGAAGGTATAATAAACTTGGCCCTCACTGTCCATTTGTTTGAAAGACAAAACTTGTATAGCTGAGAAAGTAACAATATCACCTGGAAGTTAAGATCCAAGTAATACAACTGTTATTATCAAGGTGAAGCCTAATTGTTCATTTCCTACTCACTGGTCAGCAGAGTGGTTGGAAAAAGCTGATTTGAACATCAAATGAAGGAGGGTTTTCCAATGGTCAGGAAAACAGCATAATAAACTAGAAAAGGTCCGTGCTGAATAAAGGCAAGTCTTAGAAGGTCAGGGAAAATAGTTTGGCTACCAAGGATGGTTTTATCGGATGCTGTGTAAAATGCAGACTAAGTCAAGGTTATAGAATGATTCAGTCTAAATAAAGAATATCAAGTAAAAGGAGTAATGGAAGGTGTTTTGTTTTAGGTATACTAGCTGATATATGATGAGCATGATAGGTTGGAGGCAGGATGGTATAAATACAAGAAGAGTGCATAAGAATCCAAGGCAGTACTAAAGATACAATGTGAGAAGGGTCTGAAGGGGGTTAAGGGTAGGCACTTAGGAAGTTAATCTGTGGGCTTTTGCAAAGTAACAGGAACAGCTAGGACTTGGCTTCTTGATTCAGAGAAGCTGGAGGAAAAGAGAAGAGACAGAATTCTTTCCATTGTTGTTGTTTTTTTTTGTCTTTTTTTGAAACAGGGTCTTGCTATGCAGTTCAGGCTCGCCGTGAGCTCACTTTGTAGCTCAGGCTGGTCTGGAACTTGCAAGGATCCTCCTGCCTCAGCCTCCCAAGTGCTGGGATTACAGGCGTGCGCCACCACGCCCAGCTTGAATTCTTGTTTTGACCTGGTTAATTTGGAAAACCAGATGCTAACACTAAGAGAAATGGAAATGTTAAGAACGGCAGCTGCTTTCTGGAAAAGGGGATGAACTCAAACTTAAACATACTCAGACTGAGGTCATATTTAGGAAATGGCAGTTAAATGAAAGGAGACAGTAGCACCGGAAATGCAGACTTAGAGATCAGCTGAATAAAAGAGAATGTGGAAAAACTGGAACACACCAACTATAAGGGGAGTACTTAGAACCAGCAGACTTGAGAGCACTGTTTTACTTAAAACAGAGGGAGCAGAAACACCCAGAAAGTTCTGTTTAGTGCAGATTCTTGATTTAAAAATATCTCTTAAAGAGAGTGCAATTGGTAAAGAATTGTCACAATGAATGATTTAAAAAGAAATTTTGGGGGGATAAGTTTTCCCCCAGCCATAGAAGGCACTGTCTGAAGGTTATAATAAATGGTACTAGTTAGAACTTATTAGACATAATCAAGGCAGTGCTATAACTAGACATTTCAGGGCCAGGGATATAGTTCAGTGGCCTAAGTGCCTGTTTGGCAAGCACAAGGTCCTGAGTTCGATTTTCAGTACCAAAAAAAAAAAAAAAACTAGACATTTCAGAAAAAAAAAAAAGTACCCTTTTTAGTTGCAAAGCAATTTTCCCTCACCAAGAAGATAGGCAGGTAGTATATCAGCAAATAATAATGATCATAATTATCTTTTTTGAGTCCTATATGTTACTGAACTAAGCACTTTACATATTATTTCTTTTAATTCTCTCAGAAAGGTGAGCATTAGAGAAGTCAAATAACTTGCCTGTTGTCATATAACTTTTAAGTGGAACAGATGACTTTCACATCCAGCTCTGTTTACCTACAGACCGGAAGCCAGGCTTTGGAGTTGTATGGCCATGGGGTTGACGCTTGACTCAGCTATGTGACGTACTGCTCATTCAATCCAGAAATATTCCAAGCTTTCCCTGTCTTGCTAGTTACCGTGGCTATGATGTGGGCTCAAAGAGCTACTGTTCAGGGAAGGAAAGAAATAAGAAAAAAAAAGAATCACAATATAAAGTGTTAGCAATATCATATACAAGATCATACCATATATAACGTCAGCGAAGGGGGATGGGGAGCACAGTACAAAAATTTCACCAGTTTATACTACACTGGTTGATGAACAAAACTTATGTCTGGTTCAGCATCTAATACCTGTGTGATGTTGGGCAAGTTATTATTTCTCTATGCTTTACTTGTATCATATCGAAAATGGAGACATAAATACCTATCTTAATAGGATTGTCAGACTGGACAAGCTTTAACAAATGTTAAGCATTTTAAGAAAGGCTCACTAAACAGGGTTTACTACACTGTTGGCACTGCCGGTAGACAGTGGGCTTCACATACGGAGGGGCTCTGCTGGCCACGTCACTGTTTTTCCATTTTATTTTTAAAAAATGACAGGAAGAACAGTGGGATGGAATGCTCTCGTAGCAGTACTTAATCAAATTAAGAGAAAGCTACAATCCATTATCTTGAAAATCAAACTAAGCTCTAGGCTTATGCTCTTTAGGATTTTAGAAATTGTTTTTGCTTACATAATTTATGATTAATATAGTTAAAGTGAAAGGAAAAATGATGGAAATGTATTTATATATCAAGTTAAGGGTAAAATATCTCACTGATAATGTACAAACCAGAGGAGTTAGGGGCCGGGGATGTAGCTCAGTGGCACAAGCACCTGCCTGCAAGCCCAAGGTCCTGAGTTTGATTCCTAGGACCAAAAAAACCAAACAAAACTCATTGTCTAGGCGCTGAGGATATAGCTCAGCAGCACAAGTGCCTGCCTGGCAAGTGCAAGGTCCTGAGTTCAATTCCTGGTACCCCCCCAAAAATAAATATAAAAGAAAACAAAAACTAGAGGAGTTGGAAGATAAGGCTGTTTTATTGGAAACAAGAAGATAAGGTATCTGATATAATTTTGGGAGGGTTAAAATTTTAAGCTCAAGTAGTAAAAGCTTTTCTGAAGGACAATCCTAAGGAAGTAGGAAAAACTTAATTCTTAAATCTAAGTAAAAAATATTTGAAATCTCACAAATATGCAAATAATTAGAATATAGCACAATTAAGTCATCTTTTTGAATCATCATATTAGAAATATATGAAAGGTAAGTCTATGGAAATTTTAATTTATTTTAGAATGACATTAAGTTTAATTTTAGAAAGTGTAAGTGTAGAGTCATCTAGAAAGTTTATTAAAAATGTACATTTGCCAGCCTCATCCGCAGACGGCCTGATTTACTAACTTGAGAGAAGCACTAAATTTGTACTTTCTGTGTGGATATGATGCACAAGCTAGGCGAGTGCTCTGGCACTGAGCCACACACACCTTGCACTTTTAATAACACCCTGTGGTGATTTTCATGTAAGTGGTCTTCAGACTATCTAATGATAAACAGGTATGAGGAATTTTCAGAAACAGAGAAGAACCAAAAAATCAGGTCTGGATTAGAAGCATCAGGTAGATCTAAGAGCCCTGCTTTTTCCTTCTGTCTCTCTCTCCTCCAAATTTGAATGAATGTAAACATTCCTGTTAAGAATATAAAACTTGCTAAAATTAAGTGGCTCATAAATGATAACCTGTTAATCTTCATATGGCTGCAAATTATTTTGTCACACATTTATTAGAATCCATGTTTGGCTAGGGGCTGTACTAGACACTGTAATCTGTGTTATCTTAATATTCCCAAGGATCCTGTCCCATCACCATTTCTGAGATTAGGAAAGGGTGCTTTTGGCTCTAAGAAACAGAAACCCAGTGTAAAGTGACTTAGACCAAAAGGAAGGGTACCAGCTGCAATAAGAGAAACCAGAGGTGGGGTGGATTTCAGGACTAGTAGATCCAGTAACAAGAATGTCATTCAGGACTCAAGTTTTTCCCCATCTCTGCTTCCAAATATCTAACGTGCCAACCTTACTCTAAAGCTGGTTCTTCTGTTGGTTATAGGATAGCTGCTGACAGAGGTTCCATCCTCTCACTTGCATATAGGCGGAATGGTTGCTTGCTTTCCAGAGGCTAATTAAATTAGCCTCAAATTAAAATCACTGCAATAATAGTATAGTATTACTCCATTAAGCGAAGACTAGTGTTTTCAATTTTTTTCAGTATTGTCCCCTTAAGGAGACACTTTTTTCTAAATTGCCACTTCCCGATGAAATTTTAATGCAGAGATATACACGCTATATCTACTTGTGCACTGTGTGTTTTGTACATACAAACAATGACTGTATCACCCTGCCTTCATTGAGACTACACAGCCTAGACTCAGGTTCACTCCAGGAGTTCTGGGTGGAGTGAGCGTGCTTTGGAGCACATGTCCTTGTGAGGGTGGGATGGGCACAATTAGAATGGAGACCGCAGTAAAGAGTGAATGAATACTGGGGAGACAGGCAATAGTGACCATTATTCAGTCCAAGAAACAGAGAATAATTTGTTACTGGTAAGTGGTAAAGTTGATTCAGGTAAGGATTTTGGCTAATGACAACAGTGTATCCACTAGAATTTTTTTCTTTTTTTTTTCCCCCTCCGGTACCAGGAACCGAACTCACAACCTTGCGCTTGCCAGGCAGGCGCTTTGCCGCTGAGCTAAATCCCCAGCCCCTTATCCACTAGAATTTAGATGTCCATTTTTTACCTTGGAGATAACTTCATAATGGAACATTAGAGTCAAAGTGTTGTGGGTTCAAACACTTGTTCTATACTTACTGGTTATGTTAAGGAAGTTGCTGGAGCTTTCTGAACTTAAATTGTTCATCTTTAAAGAGGAATTATAATTCTTTTATTAGTAGAACATTAGGGTTTAGAAAGTATTAAACTGAAACACACAACGCAATGAGAACAATGCCTTTGTGTTATTGTCCTTTGTTTTTCTTTCTGAAAAATATTAGATGAAGGCTTAGGAATTTATGGTCTAAGAAACGTAATATTATTATGATCTGTAAAATAATTTATTTCCTATTCCTTTTCAAAAGTTGTTTATTTTTTACAGAATGGATACTATAGTTAGCATACTTAGGAACTGTCATGTCAACAAACCTTATTCAGGTATGGTGACAACTCTCTACCTTATTCTTTGTATAGATTGAAGGAAAAGTATATTTTAAGTGGTTTGTTATATGTGCTGGTTGCAGAAAAGCTTAAAATTAGGTATAAATAAAATTGATAGATTATCTTCTGTTAAATGGCTGTAACCAGAAGAAGCTGACATTTATGAAAAATAAAGCAAAATATTTATGAATGTTCATTCTTTATTTCTAGGATAAATCTATCAGCACAAGTTTACCTGTCCTAGATTTAATAGATGCCATTGTACCAAATGCAATTCGTCAAGAAATGATCAAGAGAGAAAACCTTTCTGATGAAGACAAACTGAACAATGCTAAGTAAGCCCCTGCAGTTTACATTATAAGATAGTGGCTTTTGAATTCTCTCAAATCCTTAAAGGAAAAGTTTCACATTTTTAACTACAACTTATAGGAGGAATATGATTTAAAAATCATAACTCTACTGGTCTTGATGGTGCATGCCTGTAATCCCAGCACTTGGGAGGCTGTGGCAGGAGGATCACTGGGAGTTTGAAGCCAGCCTGGGCTAGATAGTGAACTCAAGGCCAGCCTGGGCTACAGAGTGAGATTGTCTCAAAAAAAAAAAAAAAAAAAACCACAACCTTTCTATAAAGTTAATTTAAAAAATATTCTTTTGTAAAAGTGTGTTAAGTGAAAACATAGTCGCTGACAAATACCAAGATATTTTTCTTGTCTTTTTAAGATACGCCATTTCAGTTGCTCGGAAGATCGGTGCCCGGATATATGCATTACCTGATGATCTCGTAGAAGTAAAACCAAAGATGGTTATGACAGTGTTTGCATGCTTAATGGGAAAAGGACTGAACAGAATAAAATAATGAAACTAGTATGGTCTTCTGCCACATGAAACACATTGAATGCCTCACAGTTTACAGAATTCTGAAATGTAGAGGGTATAAAATCAGAGAATATTTGTATGCTTAAAATAGTTATATATTCCTTAATGAATTGAATATCTTGTTCATATTAGAATTTGTCAATGTTTGGGGGCAACATAATTAAATTTACCAATCAGTGCGGATAATAGAGTATGTTCATTATCAAGATGATATTTCATGATTAAATTATTTTTGTTCCCTAAAGTCTTATTTAAAAAAAGGACTAATTCATTCTTTTTCATGGTTCAGAAATGATCAGTACAAAAACTTTTCGCAGGTTTTGCTATAAAACATGTTTTGATTATTTTTTGGTGTGTTAGTTAATTTTTATCAGAATTTTTCTTAAAGTCTAATCCAGTCTAATCCTTTCATTTTTTCCCTCAAACTGTGTAGCATGGTCAAAAACTTTCTATAAATTTCTGTATTATCTAAAACTTTAAAGTGACAAGTATTGTTCATTAACATTAAACTCTTTTATATATGAGAACTAATTCTTGAATGGACTGCCTTAAAAGTTCACTGCCTTATATAAGTAGCAAGAACTTTTTACTTAAAACTTAATTTTAACTGCATTGATACTTTACATATCCTACTTTGGTAATACAGCTTTACTTATGATATGTAGCTTATGACATGTAGCTTTACTTATGGTATGTAGCATATACTATACACTGATGTTATTAAAAAAGTGTGTGTGTGTGTATGTGTGTGTGTGTATGTTACACATGAATTAGCCAGGTTTTCTTAAATGTTTAATTGGTCAGTCAGCCAAACCTTATGTATTTATTTTGGTCCCACAATGTGTGGTAACACTTTTCAGTTTGTGGATATCTGATATATAGAGATTTCACAAGTATTCATTATGAATGTGCATATAGTTATTTTTCAATTGACTCCTTCTGAATACTTGCAGCCAAAAATTGGCTAGAACATCCCAAATCATGGTGACATTTTCCTGTTAGCTTTCTATTACACTTGCCAGTTTGGGTCTATAATGAAAACTATATATATATATATAGTGTGTGTGTGTGTGTGTATTGTGTGTGTGTGTGTTACAGTATGCCCACTGAACATCTTTAGTAGAAAGTAACATATAGCTAGTAGTCAACATAGAATAACTTCACATTTTTCTTTTATAGTCTCCTGTGAACTGGCAATGTTTGTTTAATGCTTGTGTTCTTACTAAAGCATGAGGTCTACTTTTTTTTTTGGAATTTTTAGACCAGTTTTGCTGCTCACAGTTGAATCTACAAAGGCATTTCATCCTTTCTCACTGTTAATGCCAGTGAGCAATACTTCTGTGCAACAGAAATGCTGTCACTTGATCTCAATGTGAATCAAAAGTTTAAATTCTCTTTATACCACTGATTGAAATAGACACAGTAAGAGAGTACTTGATGTATTTAGAGTTTTTTTTTTTTTTTTTTTTTTTTTTTTTTTTGAGACAGGGCCTCGCTATGCAGTTCAGGCTGGCCTTGAGCTCACTTTGTAGCCCAGGCTGGCCTTGAACTCACAAGGATCCTCCTGCCTCAGCCTCCCCAGTGCTGGGATTACAGGCGTGTGCCACCACGCCCGGCGTGTTTAGAGTTTTTAAAGTGAAATGATCAACAGGTGGAATTTTGAAATATATTCTTCTACAAAAGCGCTTTCTTTCCCTTTTATATTTTGATGATTGTTTCCTTATGTCAAGATTAAGGTTTGTTCTTTTATGAAATTATTTAAATCATGCTTCCTTCTTTGTTTTTTTTCCCACCATTATATTTACTAAGCTGATTTACATGAAATTTGGCACTTTAGGGTGTTGGTTTTTCTCACAAAGTATATTTAATAAAAAATGCTCTGTACGTAGAAATGTGTCGTATTTCATTTAAAGGAAAATATGGTCTTGAAAATTAATCTGGTCGAAGCTTATTTTTCAGAAATGAAAAGTGAAGAATTCCTGAATGAACTGCTAAAATAAAACAAAAACTTGTATTAGATCATTTATTCGGTGGTGAGGATAGTTCTCTTCATCCTTATGTATGAAGAGTTTTATTAAAGACCAACTGTGTGATTACTACAAATTTAGTTTGTGTTGAAATAATCTGACTGAATCAACCAACTGACTAACATAAATTTATTTTCTACTGTGATCCAGTGACTACATTAGACACTGGAGATACAGCTGAGAAAAATATGGACGAAGTCTCTTGATCTTATATCCTAGTGGAGAGAGATAATCAAACAGGAGTGTTAGATAGTGATACTGCAATAGGAGAACTAAAGTGGGGAAATGTGATAGAGACTGACTTGGGAATTGAGGTTGAGATTCATTGGGTGGTTAAGGAAAGTCTCTGCAAGGATATTTTCTGTGGATTATCAGTGCTTAGTGGACAGAAACAACCGCCAAGAATTCAGGAAGAGGCTTGGAGGCATTATGTAAAAGAAACAGGTAAATTGAGGAAGAGGAGAGTCCGACGCTGGAGCGAGGGTCTATCCTCCTTGTAAGACTAGACTGCAATCTGTATTTTATCGCTTCCCTGATGGGAGTTGTGACTGCCCTTCTCTTTTTGTACCTTTGATTTGGATGGGTTTCTTAGAGTAATGTGCTGCTTCTGAATCGTACATTCTGTTGATCACAACACTACCATTGGTCTCTGGATCACTGGTCTTCATGTCAGATATGCCGAATACACTGTCATAGCATGTTAACCTCTGCTAGGTAAAGAGTACACAAGAGAGGCAAGAGAAGAGGATATTCTGCACCCGAGATGACCCCCACACTTTTGAATAGAGTGCAGTTACAATATTGGCTTACTTTGAAGCGAATACAACTCAAAAATATTTTGGAATGTCTCCTAGGATTATCAACTAAAGGGGTTGGAATTTCCAAACTATTAGAAATTAATCCAGCCTCCATGAGAATCCTCTGGATAAAGGATCATCTAAGCCCAGATAGTTCAAAAAGATGATAGCTTAAAAGGTGAAACAGTGTCTGTCTGTGGGTCTCTCTAAGAATAGTACGTAGATAGATCTCCACCCCTGCCTTTCTCTATCTGAGCCTTCTGAGTCTCCAACAATGGGCAGGGTTAGAGCTGTTCTGCTGCTGATTCTAGACGTTTTGCTGAACTACAAAGTATATAAGCACATAAATATAAATAAATATGTACCTCTATATTCATTGGCTGAAAGTTTACAATGAGCAATTTTGACATCCCCTCAGATACACAAACTTCGAACCGTAGTAAACATTACAGTTCGTGGGACATTTGTCTAAAGACAAAAATAAAGATTCAACAAATAACTTGTCAAGGACACAGAAAATGTTCGGAAAGGTAGGCAATCTCTCGTGAATTATACGTGAATAAATGTGACAGTAGGAAAATTAAGTGACTTCAGGGATATCAGGTCAATTTCAGGTGGCAAACGAATGCTAACAAAAAATACCCCCTGGAATGAGGGTAGCCTTCCCAGTGAACTTAAAGGCAAACCAACAAGCCTGGCTCCTCTGCGGAGGGCCGCGTGCACCAGAATGAAGTGCAATTCCACAAGGACTTGCCACGAAACGTTCAATCATTAGAGGCCCCATTAGCATACCGCTGTATATTTGCTAAATGTGCAGCAACAGACAGCGGGGAAATTACTGCAAACCGGTAATCTGGGGGTGGAGGCCGACCGGAGCCGGTGGTCTCGGCTTCCCTGGGCGGCGCTAAGCGTTGCCTGAGCCGCAACACCCCCAGGAGCGGGGCGGGGCGTCCCTCAGGCCCCGCCCCCGAGCCCGCCCCGGCCGTAGGCCCCGCCCCGGCGTCGCCTCCGCCGCGGAGAGGAGGATGACGTGACGGGTAGCCGCGAACATCCCTCTCCTCTGGGCGCAGCTGGGACGGCAGGTCCCACAGCCCCGGAGTCCGAGCTCAGAAGCGCCTCCCCGAGCTCCTCTCCCGTCGCCCTCGCCCTCCTCCCCGGCCGGGCCGCCTCCCGCGCGGCCTCTGCGGCTCCTGGCACGGCCCCGCGCTCGGCTGCCGC